TCTAAGAGACGAATGTCGATGGTTAAACAATTCTCGGGGGTTTTGTGGAGCTCGTCGAGAATACTCTTTAAGGTGGTATCTAACGCCTCGATAAGGGGTCATTATGTTTCCTTTTAACATAAATCCAGCATCCCCCAAGTAGTATTTACCTATTTAAAATCATTGAAGTTATACTAATTAGAATATTTAAACTAGTTGACTATACACAAAATCCGCATGTTATAAATAATAAACCTTGTGGTATGATAAGGCGATCCTCTCTCGTAAGAACATCCTTTAATATTCTTGAATCGGATGCTTGTTCCTTCCCACCACTGCTAGAACATATGTGAATTTCATGTCGAAATCACAAGCTGCAAATACGTTTTGTGTTGGCCAATCTTTTCTTCCACGAAAACGAGGGCATCCGATCTTGCGACTTTAACTCGAACATGAGTTCCATCTATTGCCCCTAAACAATCCTAATGGGTAAAAAATTTATTGTCATTAAAGTTTAGACAATCTATGTGTATGTTATATAGACACAAAGTTGGTAAGTACATTACCTTAAAGTATGGGTAAAATCGGTTGTTGCTTAATATATACGGACACACATCCCTTCTCGATGGTTGAACAATTAATTGTTCGTCCAACATTATTATCGCATTCAACACGTTATGAAAGTGTCGACTAACGGTTTCACTGATCGATGGAAAAAAATGAAACAGTTCGATTTTTAACGTTATGTCCGATAATATGGAGAAATTTAGCCACTTGTTCTTCCACTTGTTGATTGTAACCCATCGTTTACTAATCCGAGTTGTCCTTACTCGTTGACACAAGTTAATGAACGCCTCAGGTCCCATGCGAATAATGTGACGAGATTGTTCGGTATGAATAAGGTATGACATCAACTCGTGTCGAACGACGTTCTTTTTCGAAATAAAGTCTCTAATGTTACTGCTACTACAAGTTACCATAGACAACATATTTAATCCATAAGCTATCAAACAAAGAATTGTCATCGCTCCTATTTCGCTTCGCTTTTTTATCTCACTTTGTATATGTGAAATCATGTTTATATCCGAGACCAGGTATCTATATCGTCATTGTCTAAACCAATGACCTCGATGTTTTTGTCGCACATACTGCAAAATATATATATATATATATATATATATATAATTAATTAATTAATTAATGTTTAATGGAAGTAATTCAAAATTGCCATCTGCAAACCGAGTATCACAAAACCAAAAATTATTTACAAAACTACTAATAATTTTTTTCCTCTAAATTTATCATATGTAAGTATTGTTATAATAGTTATACCTAAAAATGCTTAGATTTCAGAATTTTGCATTATCCGGATGAAAAGTACGGCAATATTCTTAAGCGAGGTTATACATGTCAATACGAGATCTTACATATAGAATGGGACAACAAGCTTGGTACCTTGTCTTCAATCCGCGACTCGATTCCTTGGCAAAACTTTCAGTCCAACGACGGCGAGTGTTAACAAATGTCCGATAGTCTTTCGAGATCTTGCAAAAATAATCTCATTTTTTGTAAGTAAAAATAATGTAATTTTTTCCTCTAAGATACGACTACTGCAACAACAACATAACCAATGCACACACAAACTCTTATGCATGCACACAGACTCCAAAAACAAACGTACCAACCAAGTTTTATGTTCCAACCATGACAGAGAAGACACGGAACCATACCGGGGTGTTCCTCAGACAATATACCAAAAACAAACGTACCAACCAAGGTCACACCAAAGTTAATGGCCGCGGCGAAGATCCAACCTACAACAGAGTAGCTTTGCTTTGCTTTGCTAGAGTCTTTTAGCTAGTCTTATGAGACTAGCTTTGCTTTATATAATACAATAACTTTCCCTATCGAGCTGTAACTACGGAAGAAAGAATAAGTCCTGTAACTTCTATCAGTTGTGAACACGTGAAGTTGGTTGTAGAGCCGTGACCACTTGCATGTACAGCCCGTGACCACTGCATGTACGACCAGTGACCACTGCTGCATGCAGCCGTGACCATTGCATGTACGACCCCGACTTCTGCTCATGACTTACCTCCTTACGTCGTCTTTAGAATATATAATTTGTCAAATGATCAAGATTTTAGATAACGGTTCCGGTAATAACCGTTAATACAAATATATATAAGATAGCGGTTAAATTGGACCGCTATTATATATACACTTTTAAGAGCGGTTACAAAGACAACCGCTCTTAAAAGTAAACTATGATAGCGGTTATATGTTAGCAGCTACCTAAAGTTTTCAAATGATCGATCACAGTACCAAAACCTCGACACTTTAGATAGCGGTTCACCTAAAACCGCTATTACAAGTTATATTTCAGCTTGAGCGATCGTAAACTCGCTCGAGCGAAGACACTGCACATAATTTTCATCCTCGGGTTTTATTTTCGCTGAGCGAAACTAATCTCGCTCGAGCGACTAGCAAAGATCTCGAGTGATTTGATGAAGTCAAAGATAAAGTCAAAACGCATTTAAATCGATTAAAACGCATTTCAATCGATTAAAATGACTTAGAAAAAATTACATGCAGGGTTTTAATCGATTAAAACTTCTTTGTATCGGTTAAAATAACTTGAAAAGTGTTATAAGAAAGTTTTAAAGCTGAATCAATCGATTAAACGCGAATCAATCGATTAAATCACTCTTAGAAAATATTTGTAAAAAGTTTTAACCGATAAAAACTTGGTCGTATCGACTAAAACAATTCCGTTAAAGAACAAGAACGCATTAATGGGTTGAAAGGACTTTTAACAGATTATAACGGCTATTTCAACAGATTAAAACAAACTTTGAACGACTTGCTCTCTAATCCCACTTCTTGATTGGATTGAGCTGAAAAAGCGGAGCTTAGGTAGAGCTACAACAACTCTCAAAGCGTGAGCTCATAAGCCGTATTTCGCTCGAGCGACTATATCTCGCTCGAGCGAATATCGATCCTGATCGATCATAAGTTGAAATGATCGATCATAATTGGAGGATATAATAGCGGTTCCTCATGTAACGCTATCTAAAGTGTATATTAGATAGCGGTTCCAGTGGAACCGCTATCATATACAACCATATTTTAAGTTCTTGAGTCTCGCGTTGTGTTTCAGCTTGAGCGACTATATATCGCTCGAGCGAAATATGATTCTGATCGATTAGATTTTTGAAATGATCGATCATATTTCATAATTTTTTCAAATAATTAATTCTAATCGATTATTTTTCTAAATTATTGATTAGAATTGATTAGTTTTTCAAATAATAGCTTAGAATTGATTAATTTCTGAAATATATATTAAAAAATTATAATTAAAAATATAGATTATTTAAGAATATTAACTATTGTAAAGATAAAGTAGAACATGGGAAGAGATGAGGATGATAATATAATGATAGAAGTTACAAAAATGTAGCATTGAGAAGTTTGAAACAAAAAAAAATTAAGAAAATAGAGATTTAATTACACTTTTAATAAATTGAAGATAATTACAATATAATTTTCTAATTTGAGAATGAACAATATAATTAAGAAGATCAAGTGTAATGTTATTGATGCTAATTTTAACAATAATACAATAATATTATTTTGGAAAATGCCCATATTCATGTGAATATTTTGATTATTATTATATAAAATAATTAAAAGAATAAGGTAAATAGAAAAGTAAAATGCATGGTTATACCACTTTCCTTTTAATCTATAATTAGTTAGGTATTTTAATCTATAATTAGTTAGGTATGAATCAAATGTAAAGTCTAATGTTATTGATGCTAATTTTAAGAAGATCACAAAATGTAAATTAAATAACTACAATATAAATTTCTACTTTGAGAATGAACAATATAATTAAACTCAAAATTGAGAATACTCTTATACATTTTTGAACTCTTTTGGATAAATTTTGTTTTCCTAATTTTTGATAAAGTTAATTTTAATATTTAAAAGTATTTAACATTTTGAATTACTGAAAGGTTTTCTCTAATAGCAAATTTAAAAACATAATATTCAAAAAAATATTTTAAGATTCGAGTCTCGGGTTGCATTTAGCTCGAGCGACTATATCTCGCTCGAGCGAAAAGCGATCTTGATCGATCATAATTTGAAATGATCGATCATAAGCTGGAGGATATAATAGCGGTTCCTCTGTATCAGCTATCTAAAGTGTATATTAGATAGCGGTTCCAATGGAACCGCTATCATATACAACCAAATTTTTAATTTCTTCAGTCTCGGGTTGTGTTTCGCTTGAGCGACTACATCTCGCTCGAGCGAAATATTATTCTGATCGATTAGATTTAGGTAATGATCGATCATAATTGGAGGATATAATAGCGGTTTCCATGTAACCGCTATCTAAAGTGTATATTAGATAGCGGTTCCAGAGGAACCGCTATCATATACAACCATATTTTCATTTCTTCATTCTCGGGTTGTGTTGCGCTTGAGCGACTATATCTCGCTCGAGCGAAATATTGGAGGATATAATAGCGGTTCCTCTGTAAGCGCTATCTTAAGTGATATATAATAACGTTTAAGATTTAACCGCTATTAGAAGTGATATATAATAGCGGTTATGTTTTAACCGCTATTAGAAGTGATATATAATAGCGGTTAAAGTGCTGTTATAATAGCGGTTAATATATTGCAGGGTAACAGCGACTTTTCATTACTTTCATCTCTTTTCTTCGCACCTCAGCGAAGAAACTCTCTCTCTCATCTCCCCCTTTTCCTCGCCTGCATTTCGTCGCAAATCAGTTCAACCAAACGTGGGTGAATCTCGTGTTTCTGTCTTCGTGAACAGTATTTTGTCGCAAATCAGTTCAAACATTTAGGGGCTTAAAGATGAATATCCGTTGATTTGTTTTGTCTGTGTGGAAAGAGGAGTGAGGCATTTTCAAAGTGCAGTCATCTCCCACTCTTTCTCTCTCTAGCTTTCTCACTCCTCTCAGCTGCGGTGAGAAGGAAAGAAAATGCAACATTTCGTGGATTTGCAAGAGAATTCGGAGCTGGGTGAGACCAATTCATGGCTTTCAGCCAAAGAGCACTCGTTAGCGTCCGGTGCGCCGCCCAATACCAATTTGGATCGCGACCTCTTCAACGACCTCGTTGAGATTGTCCCTCTCGTTCAGTCTCTCATCGTAAGCCCTATAAATCCTTGAACCCTTTTCACTCTCCTTTCTTCCAAATTCAAGGTAACGCAAAAAGTAGGATTTTTTTTTTTTTCATGTGCAAGAGGAAAAGGAAACAACAAAAACAACAACCTGGGAATTATGTAATTTGGACTCTACTGTGTTGGCTTGTATGCTGAGAACATAATTGAAAGCTAGTGACTTGTGATTTTTTTTTTCCCTTTGTTTTTATGGTAATCTTCTGACAATTGTTGCTCTTGAATTTATATTTAATTATCTTAAGTACTGTGTTGTTTAATTGTGATTAGGATCGCAAAGCAAGCCGTTCATTCACGCGGCGTGGTTCCATGATCTACACCAAGACACCTACAAGAGAATCGTTGTCTAGAAAAGTAAGACCGGGTCACTTTTTTCCTCTTTGGTTATTTTAATATTTTTCAATTCTTCTAATTTTTCCTTCATATTGGGTTTATTATAATCTTCGTAAATCTTGCTCTGTATGTTCAATCATGGAAGCAATTAGGGACCTCCTTCCATTGGATGTGATATGCAAATATTTGATATTCTGTAGCATAGCACTTCTAGTCAAGGTTGTTTTTTAACTTATGGAGCCTCCGCAGACTGGACTTACAGACTGAACTCGTTAACTAATATAAAACAAATATGAAAAATTTATTAATGCCATATATGCATACTATAATACTCTTAATGTAACAATAATTCAACATCTCAACTTCATAATAAATAAAAATAGCAAATCATATTAATAAAGTATGATAGTATTTATGATTTGTTGTTTCACTCTTGTGTGGCATGATTTTGCCTATTCTGATTGCGTTTATAATTTATGAGTGATGCCATCATGGAGGTTGTGTATGAAAAATATTGGACCTAAGCTATTTCCTCCTCAAGCACAGATACCATAAAAGCCCTGCATATTTACAACATACCACATTGGATACTTTTCAATTGCTCCTTAAATGTATGTACATGTGTCCATAATCATAAGTTAATGCCTAGCCTCATTTATTTCTGGAAACTTTTGTGGATGGGTTTGAATATGATAGTTATTCATGTAAATGGCGACATATTTTGTGAGTGGCATAACTAAATTATATTATTGTCTCTTCAATCTCCTGCTTTGAAACAATAATGTAGTACTAGTGATGTTTGGACATTGAATAATGAAACTTAATAATTCTCAATCCTTTGTGGTGTGAAAAATATCCGTGCATGGCTGACTGTCCTTTTTGTTCACATAATATCTAGAATATGTGCATGTGTATTATGACCTTTTACATACTTTATCGCTTAATTAAAACACTTTGGTTGAATAGTAAACTTCCCCTTTTTTCCTTTTGTCGAACCCATGAAGTATCCCTATTGGTTTGGGCCCTTTGAATTGCTTGGGAGACTAATCCCTGTTTGACCATGGGAGCACATGGGTTAACTGCCTCTATACAGCAGTTGCTTCCTTTGAAGTTGAGATTCAAACCCATGTTCTCATCACAGGTGGTTGAAACTGCTTTCACCTTACTCATTGTAGATTGAACTATTAAACAATAAATATCCATTACTTTTAAACTGGAAAACCTTTCAGTAAGATGGTGAGCAGAAAGTTCTCTTTGTTTATGATGTAATTTAATAATGTTAGATAACACAGGTGAAGGATTGCTAGGCCCATTGATATGACTCTTGGGATGTAGGATTTTGTTATTCCCATCCGGAGGTTTTTCTGACTGACCATATATTGTCTGGTATTATGTAGTTCTAGTACTTTGAGCTTTAGTCTTCCAAATGTTGAAGTTCAATTTATTCTGCATCAACTTCTTACTAAATATTGAACTCTCTTATTGTTGTTAGTGTAGTTTTTTTTGTTTTTTTTTCGTCTTGCTTATGTGGAAGTCTGAAACTATTTTTTTAAAAGAATAATTTTTCGTATAACTATTAAATTTTATGAGCATAACGCATTATTTATGACTGAGTGACTGGCATTTCTTTTCTGTGATTGTTGTCTTGAATCATGTACATCCTCTGATAGGTAACTGATTCAAAAAGTAGGAATGTTGCCCAATCTATTCCTGCCAAAAAGAAAAGGGATCATGGAGAAAAAGAACAAGGAAAAAATGGTGGCAATGATGCTGATGGCTATTCCATGATTTCTTCAAGATCTTTGGCTTCAGAAAAGGACAGTGAAGAGTTAGGTATTCTGAAGGAGCAGGTAGAGGAACTTCAGAGGAAACTGTTGGAGAAAGATGAACTTTTAAAGTCAGCAGAAAATTCTAGAGACCAGTTGAGTGCTTTTAATGCAAAACTTGATGAACTGAAACACCAGGCTTCAGAAAAGGACACTTTACTGAAATTTACTCAACAGCAGCTCTCTGATGCTAAGGTATTGATCCGCTACGTAAGTTTTTTTCGCATAAATAATTTGTCATAAGTAATTTCTATATCATTTACGTGAGCATAGTTCAACTATTTAATAATACCTGTTCACCTTGTACACTCGCCTCATATGTATCTGGAACATGATGCCGGGTTTTGAGTTTTATCGGTTGAAAGTTTGATTTTACAATTGTGGTGTATTTTAGTACACGAATGCTTAGATAATGTTAGAAGGCTTCACAATTGTAATGGGTTTAACTTTGACAGTTTTGTTTTCGTTTTAGATTCTTCTACTTAGGATTTTATATGGTTAAAAATTTGATGTGTGTTGCCCCACTGAAATTGCTATGTTAGGTTTATTTGGACTTTTTGAAACCTAATCACAGAATGCATTGAAATTAAAATCTTGTGGTCAGATCGTACACGGCTTTCTCCAATCTTAGGTTCTGATAGATAATATATAGGGGGGAAGAAATACTCATTTCTTTTGGGGAGGGGTATGTTTTAAAGGTTTTTTTTTTTTTTTAGTAAATTTTAGTTGTTGATATGTTAGCTTTTGTAAGAGGTAGAATTTGAACTCACGGCATTTCCTTTCCTCACTCCCTGCCACTTTTACCGCCAAGCCAATCTTATATCCCTGCAAGAAGTTTTAAAGTGTTTCTTTTCACGCATTAACAGGTCTCCTTTTCCACAGATTAAGCTTGCAGACAAGCAAGCTTCTCTTGAAAAGATACAATGGGAAGCAATGACATCCACCAAGAAAGTAGAGAAACTCCAAGATGAGCTAGGTTCCATGCAAGCTGATATTTCATCATTCACGTTATTACTGGAAGGATTATCAAAAGCTGACACTGCTAAATACACTGACGATTATGATGTCAAGCCGTATGATTTCAGTCACGTGCCTAGTATTGTGAGTTTCTGAATAATTTTTCAAATACACAGCATAGTTATCCACATGCTTCTATATATATGTGGGAACAATTTCAACGCAGCACTATGATTTGGATTGCCTTCCTGGTTCAAGACATGTGAAAAACTTGTTTATCAATGTGCATGGTTTCCACTTCCGCATTCTTGCAAATTCGGTGATTCTATTAATTATTTCTTCTAATTTATAAATTTGTACCTTGTTTGGTAGGATGAAAATAGGAGGGAGAGAGTGAAAATAATATTGGTCGTTTAATTGGATGCAAAAAGTACCAGTATTTTTTTCACTTTTATTTCTTGCCTGTTTTCATGTACCTTTTCTATTTTCATCCATTCTATTTCTTTCCTATCTACCAAATGGACTCTTAATGTATATCTTTGTTTTCTAGAACAGAAATGTGTTAGTATCTAGAAAAATCATCCTTGGATGTTGACCTTTTCAAGAAAAACATATGGTTGAACAGGATGATTTGGAAGAGATGGACTTACAGAAAATGGAAGAAGCAAGAAAAGCTTATATGGCTGCTGTTGCTATTACCAAAGACAAACAAGATGAGGAATCAATTGCAGCTGCTGCCAATGCTAGGTTACACCTTCAGTCACTTGTTTTCAAATCCAAAGCTCTTAACCTGTAATGTCACCACTAGTTTTATTTAATGTGTCTACATGTTAGGTCCCTCTAGTAAAAATGGTGAGGCCCTTATTCTGTGTGAGGTTGATGTTTTTGCAAGCCTGTTTATGAACAAATATGTAAGGTTGTGCCATTTTATTGGATGAAGTACTAAAGAGCATGTTCAATGAAGTGAAAACGTGTTCTCGCGGGTCTAACTGCATTCAGAATTTCACCAGCCCTTTGGATAGGGTTTTTCAAAATCAGAGTTAATCATGACCTGATTTGTTTTAGTTTGTATTTGAAGTGGCATTCTGCAAATTTTCTTCTAGCAGCTGATTCTGATTGACAGTGGTTACATACTTACATTGATTTGTGGATCGCCTCATTTTCACATCTACTGTTACGGCTGACATTGCCAGAGTATTTGTGTACATACAAATTTCACTTTTTGTTCTCAAGTTGCCTCCTGGTTCCTGCTTCCTGTTATAGTCCATACTCCATACAAGGGAGAATTTGAAAAGTTCAAATTTCTTGAATGAAAGTAATGCAACCTTAAATTATATACGGTGAGAACTGATTAGGGGGCAATTATATATTTTTTCACTGTTTTAAAATCGAATTCCACTGCCTAGCAATAGATTTGTTATTTTTAAATAATTAAATTTTAATTAAATCAGTATAAAATTAAAAAATAATTTCAAATAGTAGAAAAATATATTAAGATTTTAAATTAAATTAATTTTAATAAAAAAAAATTCAGATTATTTTTTTATAAAAGATATCATATTTTTTTATGTTTTTTTTTATATTATTCACATCAATTTTAAATAATAATTATTTTTTACTCTCTAATATATTTTATATTTGTAATTTTTATTATAATTTTCAATAATTATAATACTAATTATTATTGTTATTTTTATAAAAAAATATTATTAATAAACTTGTTATATTATAAAAATATTATTTTATTAAATTCACTTAAATTTTTAAATCTTAAATTTATGTTTTTATTTATTGAGTAACTTTCCGAATTTAAAAATATTTTTAACCTCTTTGTCCATGCATTTGATATTTTTCTATTGACTTCTTGTATATAATTAATGTATATACAAATTAATGTAATATTTTATTACGTATTAATTTAAATAGTATATAATTATAATTCAATATTAGCGGTGGATTAATGGAGTAGTGATGCTTTTTATGGTTCGATAAGAGGAAATGGAACATAAAAACAAACAAAACTAATATCATTGCTGAATTGGTTGAATTAATTAGTGATCCATTTTAATTTTGAATAACAATAGTTATGTCACATTTTTTATAGTTATGTCTTTCTTAATATTCTTCTTCCCTAAAGCTTATTTAAAATAACAAAAAAGAAGAAGAAAATGAAATAAAAATTAAACGTATTTAGTTGAAAAAAAATAAAGAAATGAGAAAAACAAGTGATGGGTTAGACTCAGCCAAGTGTTTGCTGAAATGAACTTGGAATTGTCTCAGTGTTCATTTAATTGATTGGTGTAACATCAAAAATAATTTTCTTTAATTGTCATTTTTTGCATTGATCTTCATTCAGTCCATTCTTTATTTTGTAAAAGCAAATTCCAAAGTCAAAGATACCGTTTTTCTTAAAATCATGAAACAGATTTTTTAATTCCAGATATATTAATGATGGAACCTCTACAGTTTCAGGTTTCTTCCAAAATCCTTTTCTATGTATGATGGTTGTTCTTTTAAAACACTTTCGTATATATTATGAACTTTAAGAGAAAATTCTAACAGAAAGCAGAATGTTAGTTCTTAGTAGTGAATTTTGAAGCAATCTGAAAATAAAATGAAAAAGTCCTGTTGATATGAGCATGAGTGCAATTTGGATGGAGAAAAGAATTGATTCTTGAAGAATTACAAAATAACAAAATCAAAGAATGTGAAGCCATCAGAATCTACAACACTGAAATCTCACAGCTCGGGCCTTGGGCTTCCTCAGGTGCAAACCTTCTGATTTGGGCATTTGCACAGGGCTTCCAATCCATTCCCAACCTAGCCTGTGTTTTTCAAACAAAACCACCCAATCCTTCACAACATTAAGACCAGTGCTATATTTTCACATATTTACACACACACTAACGAAAATTACAGCAAAAATTAACTTACACAGGGAAGGCAAAAGAACTTCTACTGCCTTCAGATTGGTCAGAGTTCCTTGACTCTGCAGACCCTTCCACATGTTGCTGTGTGCCCACGTGTACGATGTCCTCTTCATGCAGATCATTTTGATGGTGATTAACGTTTGATCTTTTGTCATGAATGTTCTGGTCACTAATTAGTTCATCATCCTCACTATATTTCAGCTGCTCAAGTCACACATACCACCAAGTAAGAGAAATCAAAGTTTATCTAACAAAGCCAGACTGGGTAACCAAACTTTATGATCTGCAGTGAGTACTGCATGCATACCTTACGATTCACTGGCCTTGAATTTTTGTGCATTTCATTCTGACCTTTGACATGAGTCTCAGAATTGGCACTTTTGTCATCTTGTGCTACATCCTTTCCAAAGCAAAACTCTATGTAATCTTCATCCGCGGAGAGTGACCAACTTGAATGAACCCCACCAACATCTTTGTCCTTTATTATTGGATTGTTGACGTGCTTCTTGCTGTTGCATTTGTTGCTTGGCCGTGACAAATTGTTGTTAGAGATACTATTAAAGCCTTTTTCCTTGTTTTTGTCAAATGCCATGTTTTTCACTGCCACAGGAGGGGATGAAGTCAGTTCGTGATCATCTGATAAAGGATAGAAAAATTGTGTGAGAATATGACATGGGGTTGATAAAAAAAAGTGAAAAAATTGTCCTTTTTTATGCTATTGAAAATGTAAATGCCAAGGAAATAGCTTTCTCACTTTACCTAAGGGCAACCAGAAAACAGAGAAACATGATCTGACTAGCCATGTTATTGTGGTCATCTTTGTGTGCTTTTGTTCGGCCTTTTTTCTCCTTGTCAGGATATAATGACAGAGAAAAGAAATATGACTCCCTGATACAGGTATAAAATAGGAGAATTTCCTTTAGCATCTGAATTTGGATAAACTCATTTAAGTTATGGCTCAGTCATGTAGAAGAGGGTGAGAAATTTGACACAAAACCATACACAATTTCATTTGGCAACTGAAAATAACCATGAAATTAAAAGGAAAATAAAGCTGAGGGAAAGGTCCTTATATGCCATTTTTTTAATTGCTACAATAAATTAACATAAATTACGAGTAGACGTACCATAATTTGTGCCTTAAATTCCTGATGAAATGTTTCATTTGATGTAATAAATAATGGATTGTTACAGAAAAACAAATAATGATAGTATTTTAAAAAATGGATTGTGGTATCTCTTTTTATATGGCTTATTGTCATTCAACGAATTAAAAAAAAAAAAAAATGCATGGACAGAATTTATCCTGAAATATGACACTACCATTGAGGGATATGAAACCGTTAAAAATAGAAATCTAGATTTCATTCATGTTTTGGTCAAATAAAATAGTTTTTAAGAGCGTATCTTTCCCAAACTAATAAAATAGAAACTAAATTTGGTATTGGCAAAGATAAACCATATAAACCCAAAACATTCTCTTTGTTGCCAACAAGAGAGTAATGTATGTTGTCAATTATTTTAAGTTATGAAAATGGTCTAATCTCTAATACATTTGACACAACAAGTTTGCTTGTCAAACTAATTAACACAAGATTAACAAAATGAAAAATAAAATCAAATAGTTTCATTAGAAATTTCATATCATGAAAGTGATAAAAAAAGACAAACAAAAAATATGTTTATATGTTTAAAGAATTGTAACGGTAGTTTTCTCATTCTTTTATATGATTTGCAGGTATTTGAGATTTGAGGTGTGAAAGGGAGACATATTGGTCAAAAAGTAATGGAATTAAAAAACTATGATAGCCAGGTGTGAAACGACGTTGGTGTGGGTAGTTAGTTAAGGTCCTCTGAGAGAGTCAATGTCATCTTCAGAAAATAAACAGATGGGTTGGGCCATAGCTCTACACGGCGGCGCCGGCGACATACCCCTTTCACTACCACCGGAGAGACGGCAGCCGCGAGAGGAAGCTCTCCGCCACTGCCTTCAAATCGGCGTCGAAGCTCTCAAAGCCAAACTGCCTCCTCTCGACGTGGTTGAGCGCGTCGTATGCATCATATCAATCATCGACATAAATAGGTATTATGTATGTACGCATGGTGATTAATTGATTGATCGATTTGTTTTTTTTTTCGAGTGTGTTTAGGTTCGGGAGTTGGAGAACATTCCGCAGTTCAACGCGGGGAAGGGATCGGTGCTGACTTCCAAAGGCAGCGTCGAAATGGAAGCTTCCATCATGGACGGCACCACTATGAATTGCGGAGCTGTTTCCGGACTCACTACAGTCGTCAACGCCATCTCTCTCGCTCGATTGGTCATGGAGAAGACGCCTCACATTTATCTCGCTTTCGATGGAGCAGAGGAATTTGCAAGACAACAAGTTACTCACCTTTATCCCTTTCTTTTCATCTTATTTATTACTACCATTACTTCAACAACACTCGTATTTGATCATGATTATTCATCCTTCCACTTCAGGGCGTTGAGATTGTCGATTCAAGCCATTTTATTACTGCAGAAAACATTGAAAGGCTAAAGCATGCCAAAGAAGCCAATAGGGTCCAGGTACTAATTTTGAAAAACAAACATTCACGTACTCGGCTAATATTTTATTTTTCACTTATCAGATACTATTTTCTTATCAAAACTGAAATTTCATATAGGTATTTTTTTAATTTTTTTTCTTAACTTCGATGCAAATCTTTATTACACATATTAGTATTAGGCTGACTTCCATTGTCATTCTTTATCATGCGGGTTTTCAAAGTAAAAGGTAGCTTCAGAAATATTAAACAGCTGCATTCTTTCATGTAAGATTTGTTTAGAGTTGTATTCAGACAGCTAGAATGCAATTTCTTAGTAGCGTTTATTCTCATTCTCTTGTCACAATTCAAATTCATTTTAGTCAATTGTGTAATATTGTTTTGAATTAAATATCAATATAAATTGCTTAACTGAACTCTAATTTTAATTAGACAACATTTCTAAAACATACGTAAGAAAGTACATATAAGGTTTTTCCTTACATTAATCGCCTGAATTTCCTATATTCTATTCTTCCTACTGTGTTGATTCACAAATATGTAGATTGACTATACCCAACCTGTCCAAAACGATACTAAGAAAGAAACAACAATTGCTAATGGTGATAGTCAAATTGGAACTGTTGGGTGTGTGGCTGTTGATGGTAATGGAAACTTAGCTGCTGCAACGTCCACTGGCGGGTTAGTGAACAAAATGGTTGGTCGAATTGGTGACACACCGGTCATAGGTGCTGGGACCTATGCTGATGCACGTTGTGCGGTTTCAGCAACTGGTAAAGGTGAAGCAATAATACGTGGGACAGTGGCAAGAGATGTGGCTGCTCTGATAGAGTTTAAGGGTCTTACTCTCGAGGAAGCTGCGGCTTGTGTTGTTCATGAGCGCACGCCAAAAGGCACTGTTGGTTTGATTGCTGTGTCTGCCAAAGGAGAAGTTGCAATGCCTTTTAATACAACAGGCATGTTCAGAGCGTGTGCTACTGAAGATGGGTATTCTGAGATTGCAATTTGGCCTGCTGCCAAAATTGAATGATAGTTAGACTTTTCGGATTTCCAAGCTTAATGTATTATATAACATTTGGATGATGCTTGATTGTATTGTTGGGATAAAAATATTTGATTAGTTAAATTATAGGATTGTATAACGTTACAAAATATTGTATAATCAGAACTTCTTATATTTAGTCCTGATTTATTAGAGTAAAATACTATAAGATCATAGTATATATGTACAAAAATAATATGAATAAAAATTATAAAATGAATTCTATATTTTTCAATTTGGTACTAGAGCTTATAACTTTTTTCTTTTTCTTTCAAAATCCTTAGAGATCTTAACCGGAGAGATGACAGAAAAACTAATTCCAATGGTTGTTCAATCTGAAGGTGTCTTCAGCGCAGATATCATCCTAAATGAATCCAATTATGACGTATGGTCACAACTAATGGAGATGCACATTGCAGAGAGGGAAAAATTGTCCTATATCCGTGGGAAGGTGAAGCCTCCAACAGAGAACGATGAGGGATATGAAAAATGGTATGCTGAAAACCAAAAAGTGAAAAAAATGGTTATTGATGTCCATGAAGCCAGAAATTATGAAAAGGTATATTCGCTTACCCACTGCCCTCAATATTTGGAATGCTTTGTCAAAGACATTTTATGATGGAAGTGATGAGCTACAGGTGTTTGCCCTGAATCAAAGGGCATTCACTGCAAAACAAAATAATAGAACCTTAACTGAATATTATGGGAAGTTGGTTGAGATTTTTAGGGAATTGGACCATCGTGACAAAGTAGTCATGAAGGGCCCTGATGATGTGAAGTCATGTTAGAAGTCCATTGAAAGATTAAGGGTGCATATATTCCTTGCTGGACTAGATGATGATTTTGAGCAAGTTCGTGGAGAAATCTTGCGCAAAGAAGTGACACCTGATTTAGAAGAATGCTATGCATTGATCTGGAGAGAGACAGTCCGGCGAACAACGTTGAAAACAGAATATATGATTTATGATTCCACAGCTATGATGACAAAGAAGTAGCCAGCAAATCACCACAGCAAATCGAAGCAATCAAAATATTTTGAAAAAGGTAACTACAAGTGTACTCAGTGTAATAAGGATGGACACACCAAGGAACGATGCTATGAAATCATAGGATACCCCGAGTGGTGGGATCACAGTCGAGCATCGAAGAAGAATTCAAAAAGAAATCCAACTGCTACAATCGCAGGTAGTGATGATTCTAATGGTAAGGCTTTAATAAGCACATCTACCGTTCTGAATAATGCATGAATAATTGACTCTGCATGTTCTGATCATGTGACTTTTGATGTTAGACAAATTAAAAATCTTAAACCTTACTCACAAAAAAGTATATCCACAGCCAATGGTAGTAAATCCACTATTATTGGAGAAGGAAATGTCTCTATTTCAAACAATTTGAATCTTGATACTGTCCTTGTTGTTCATTCTCTTAAATATAACCTATTATCAGTCTCACAAATAACCAAAGCTCTTTTATGTGTTGTAATTTTTGGGTCTGACTCTTGTGTTTTTAAGGATATTCAAACGAGGAATACGATTTGTTGTGGTATTAGGCGAGGAAGATTGTATTACCTGGACCTGACAGAAAAAGATTCAAAGAGACTTGGTCAAGTGCTAGCAACAAAAGGATCTCAAGAAATAAGAAAATGTGAGGATATCTGGTTATGGCATAAGCGTCTAGGACATGCATCTTTTGGTTACATAAAAAAATTATTTCCAAATGTATTTGACCAAGTAGACACTTCAACTTTTTATTGTGATGTTTGTGAGCTTGCAAAGTTCTCTTCCTTTTATGATCATTCACTCTGATGTATGAGGTTCATCTAAGGTTACAACGCTGGGTGACTCAACGTGGTTTGTAACGTTTATTGATGATTGTACTCGAATGACTTGATTATGTTTGATGAAGTCTAAAAGTGAAGTTGGAGGACTATTTCAGAAATTCTGCAAATGATTGAGACCCAGTACAAAGCACAAATTCAGGTACTGCGCAGAGACAACGGAAGAGTATATATGCAATCAGAACTTCAACATTTTTTAGTAGCCAAAGGAATTGTTCATCAAAGATCTTGTCCAAATACTCCACAACAGAATGAGGTGGCAAAACGAAAGAACTGTCATCTATTGGAGGTGGTCTGAGCTGCACTAATTGGAACTCACATGCCAACAATATATTGGGGAGAAGCTCTCACATATGCAGTATACACTATCAGCTGAACACCGTCCGGGTCTCTTGAGTATAAAATACATCTTCAATCACTTACAGATGCAATAGTAAGTCCTAAAATTGCTGAACTAACACATAGTTTTTTGTTGTGTTGCTTATGTTCACTTACACAAGCATCAGAGAAGTAAATTGTCTCATAGAGCTGAAAGGTGTGTGTTCCTTGGCTATGCGGATCACCAGAAAGGATATCGGTGCTACAATCCACAAATCAAGCAAATATTTACTACTATAGATGTAATTTTTCATGAAACCTTGATATATTTTTCCCCCGAGTCTGAAATTCAGGGGGAGAATTATGATGAAGTTCAGACTTTTGTTCCTCAAGAAATTGATATTGAGATCAGATTGGAGAAAGAAAGTTACAAAATTGTATCAAGAGATGATGAAAGTATGGAACAATGTTATGATCAACAACCATATAATGAGGAAGATTTTGAGCATGTTGACATTGAAAATTTGCCTGTTGATGCTAATGATATACCACACCAATCGTCCCTTCAAGAACTTAATACAGAAAAAAGAATTTTGCCAGATCGTATCACTAGAGGTATCCCTAAGCCTACTTATGATCTTGACCTCACCAGTAAGACAAGATACCTTATGAGTAATTATGTTTGTAACCAGAATTTATCTAACTCAAATATCGCATTTATAAGTCAATTATCTACTGTATTTATTCCTAACAGTGTGTAAGAAGCTTTAGTTGACTCCAGGTGGAAGGATGCTATGAATGAGGAGATGAGATCCTTGCAAAGAAATAAAACATGGGAATTAGTAGATTGTCCAGTTGGAAAGAAACCAATAGGATGTCGATGGGTGTATACTGTGAAATTTAATGCAGATGGCACAATTGAGAGATTCAAAGCTAGATTAGTGGCAAAGGGGTACACACAAGCATATGGAATAGATTACACTGAAACGTTTGCTCCCGTAGCTAAAATTAGTACAGTTCGAGTATTGTTATCTCTAGCTGTAAACCTTGATTGGTCCTTACAATAATTGACGTAAAAAATGCCTTCTTATACGGAGAATTGTATGAAGAAGTTTATATGGAGCTACCAGAAGGATGTGGGATCTCGAATACACATAGCAAGAAGGTATACAAGTTGAAGAAGTCATTGTATGGACTAAAACAATCGCCACGAGCATGGTTTGGTAGATTCACCAAGTCAATGCTTGCTTTTGGATACCAACAGAACAACCAAGATCATACCTTGTTTCTAAAGAAAAAGGAAGAAAATATTATAATTCTTGTTGTCTATGTTGATGACATGATAGTTACGGGAAACGATCTAGAGGAACGCAAGACATTAAAAGAGTATTTGACAAAGGAATTCGAGATGAAGGATCTTGATCCTTTGAAATATTTTCTTGGAATTGAGGTCTCAAGATCAAAGTCAGGTATTTTTCTCTCACAACGAAAGTATGCATTGGATTTACTAAAAGAAACTGGAATGACAGCATGCAAATCAACAAATTCTCCAATTGAAGAGGGATTGAAGTTGTGCATTGAAGAAGATCAAACTCCAACTAACAAGGGAAGATATCAGAGACTTGTAGGGAGATTGATGTATCTCTCACACACTAGGCCAGATTTAGCTTATGCTCTTAGTGTGGTTAGCCAGTTCATGCACAATCCAGGTGAAAAACACATGGATGCTGTTATACGGATTTTAAGGTATATAAAAGCTGCTCCTGGAAAATGAGTTATGTTCAAGAAGAACTCCAACTACAAGGATGTGATGATTTATACTGATGTAGATTGGGCAGATGCTCTTGATGATAGAAGATCAACCTCTGGATACTTTACATTTGTAGGAGGTAATCTTGTCACATGGAAAAACAAGAAGCAGAAAGTCGTAGCTAGATCCAGTGCAGAAGCTGAACTTAGAGGAATGGTTCTTGGACTTTGTGAAGGTTTGTGGCTCAGACTACTTCTCCAAGATTTAGGGTATGGACATACACGTCTCATTCAGTTATATTGTGATAATAAAGCTGCACGCGACATTGCTCACAACCCTGTCCAATATGATCGGATGAAGCATGTGGAGGTTGATAGATTTTTCATCAAGGAAAAGCTTGATAAAAATATTTTGGAATTGCCAAATATTCGATCTGAAGATCAGTTGACAAACATTCTTACCAAAGCTGTGATAAGTCAGATTTTTAGGAGATTATTGGATAAGTTGGGAATGTATGATATCCATTTACCAACTTGAGGGGAGTGTTGAGATAAATATATTTTATTAGCTAAATTATAAGTTTGTATAGCGGTACAAAATATTGTATAACCAGAACTTCCTATATTTAGTCCTGATTTGTTAGAGTAAAATACTATAAGATCGTAATATATGTGTACAAAAATAATATGAATAAAAATTATAAAATGAATTCTATATTTTTCGATTCAGATTGTCATCACCTTCTTCTTATTATTATTATCATCATCATCATCATCATCATTATAGCCATCATCTTCCATGCTTGGTGAAGGGAAAACGATCATCCATTTCATGGAAGTCCGATACATGCAAAAATCATTGTAAACTTATTCTCTTTACCTCTGATAGACTAAAGCTGTTAATTACGGTGTAATTTTTCTAGTCAACCAGATCAAACATCAAATATTAATTTCACCTGAGATTCCACGAGGACTTTGTCAAGGCAAAACGTTGACCAACACTTCCTATTTGTTAGAGTGGAAGAGAACTGTGAATTTTCAGGCAAGAATTGATTTATCACAAATTAGATTATCACTATATAGATTTCATTGTTTGTTTTGTTATGCACTGTTCTTACAGAATTACACAGTACGTATTTTTTCTTTATTATGCAATGTCCACACAGAATGCATATTTTTTGTTTTGCTTTTTTTTGTTTTTTGTGTTGGAAGAAGGGGGAAGACGGCAATTTTTTTCTTTTGTAACTACAAAATTCTTTAGTGTGTGCCAAGTTTGGTTCAAAACCAGAAGTTACTGAGAAAGTGTTGCTAATGTGATAAAATGTTAACTTTGGTGCGGTAAGATAGAGGGAAAAAACTATCTGCCATGGTTTATTTCTCCAACCCCTGGTTAATTTCGGAATGAGATAGATTCAGTTTAATTTAAATGTACTCTTATTTGAGAAAAGGAGCAATGTACAATGCCCTACCTTAAACAGAAGGAATTCTAATATTTTATCTGATTAATTATGTTCTTCACTGACTAGAATAAAAAACTGCCATGGCATTTGGAGTTAGGTTAAAAATGAAAGACTGTAGTGAAATTAAGAAAATAATAATAAAAAATATTAAATTTAATCTCATCAAGAGAAAGAGAATATAAAATAAAGCAATTATTTTTTAGGAAAAAATATTATTATATAAATATTATTAGAAATAGAAGTATTTATGTCTTCATAATTTTTTATATTATAAATTTTGTAAAATAATTATTTTATTTGTAATATTATAATTAATAATTTATTTTATTTTTATTATATACCACAGAATTTTTTTTCACTTTTAATTTATTAGATTATATTTATATTTTTTATATACATTTTTGTTTTAAATCCATTTTTTTAATATTTTATTCACACTTAATATTATAATAAAACAATTATGTTTATTTTAAAAAAATAATATAATTTTATAAACAATAAAAAAGTAATTATAAAAAAATAATCTCTCGATGTTAGTAACATGGGAATAATCCAAGATATCTTTTAAGAAAATTGTCAACTGACTTGTCAAAGTGTAAAATAAGCATACCACTTTTTTCAATCACTCAAATTCAGGAAGAATATAAGATCAAATAACCACTTTCCTGCATTTTATAAATATTTTCTTAAGGTACAGATAATTCATATAGATGTGTTATTCGTCACAATAATTTATTTTTAAAATAAATTTGATGTGTCATATTAGGGAGTTGTTTAGTGAAAATCCAATTACATAATGTAGCCTTTAAAGGCAATTCTGATTTTTGCACACTTAGCTTGCATCTCCTGTATCTCTTTTTTGCATCAGGCATCCCAGGCTTTGTCTATCATCAAGTGTTAACAGGTATTAATAGCATTATTAATATTAATAGCAATCTCAGTTTTAAAATATTGTTTTTAATTTTTTTTCTCATCCAAATCGTTTCTACCCAAACTTTTAACTAATTTTTTCAATTTTACTTATGTTATTTTTTCTAGTTTTATATTAATTTAATTAAAAATTATTTTTTTAAGTAACAATCAATTTTTCATGTTAAAGTAGTTTAGAAAAATAAATGTTTGACAGCAGTATTTTGATCAAATAACCACTTAACACCTTTTTATATTAATAAAATAATAATTTTTACTTAATTTTATATTAATTAAAACATCTTATCAATATAATATTAATAAAGAGAGTTATTATATATATATATATATATATATATATATATATTTTAAATAGATTTGTTGATATATAATAATCTTTTTTAAAATACCGATTCATAGGAGTCGTCAAAAATAATTCTTTAATACGTGTATGTTTGATTAGAAATGTATTGAAAATTAAACTTATATAGAGATATGTCAAAATTGGTTAAACATGTCACTTAGTTGATTTAACTTGCTAGATTAGGATGAGTTATTGATTTATTATTTTAACCTGCAAAACACCCCTCAATCCCACAATGGATAAAGGAGCATGGTCAGTTGAGATTTTACTGTGAAATTTTTGACGGATTGATTTTTAAAATGTTATTTTGTGAAGCATTTTTTTTAATTATTAATTTTATTTTTTTACACTAAATGTATTTAGGTCTTAATGATAGTTTGTGAAGAAGATTTATACGAAAATAAGTTCGTAGGATAATATAATTGTGATTATAATATTGTGTTCATATTTATATTATATATATTTATTTCTTTTATTTACTAGTGAATTTATCTTATGAATTACTTATTTTTAATAATTTTTCCTTTTAATTTAATCCATCTCATTTTATTTTTACGAGAGGATAAGTTGAGTAGATTAATTCATTTCGACAATCCTAATTATTAAAACTGCCTACATTGTTTCTATGATCTAATAAATTAAGTCAGGTTGAGAAAATATTAAACCCAATACATATTAGGTCTATTTCACATTATTAAAAATGCTCCAATATTTTTTCTGAAATATTTAAATTAAAATAAAATTAAAAACACAAGTCAATCTAATGAAAGCTCATTAGATATTCAATCCGGGACCATCTGACTACAATATAATATGACAACTTTAATATATATATATATATATATATATATATATATATATATATATATATATATATATATATATATATATATATATCAACTAATCCATTTGACAGTATGTAATATTAAAAAGAAAATTAATTATAATGTTATTATCGGTGAATCACAGATTAAAAAAATATTATTAGTTGACAATCCAAACAATCATTAGTGTTATTTTAGGTTGTTTGAATTTTTTATTTTTTTTAAATCAATTGGAACAAAAATGTTATATTATGAGACAAAAGTACAATTAAACCAATATTTAGCTAACAACAAAATACTAAGTAGTTAACACAGTGCCTATTGACTCTCTGTTTTTATGTGATTCAATTGTAACTTATACATCATTTAAGTGGTTTAACTGTCACATGTATTGCCAAGACGTTGTTTGAAACATGCTATCAGTGTACCCAATTATGTTATTATGTAAATTAAAACAGAGGAATCGAAATGGTAACCTGTGCTGTCATTGTCCTGCTATTGTGGCAATTTTACTTCCAGGTTTGTTCCTCGATCCTTGTCTTTGTTCCATCAGTTGCCTAAAATCAACAGTGATGTTAGAATCAGATTTGAATTGGTTTGTCTTTTCCTTGACAAGTAAGTGATACTTCTTAAAGGACTACAATACCCAACAAATTATAGTTGGTTTGCAAATAGGTACTTGCAGTAAGATTTCTGAAACGCATAAAATAGAGGGAAATGAGAAAAATGTTTTCATTCGATTACATTGCTATTTGAAAGAGCTGATAAATTATTACAAGAATTACTAAATAGCAATCATTCTATCACTTGCATAAAGGGAAAAGATAGCCCTACCGGCCAAAAATGGATTCTCCCATATCTCTTCACCTAACGCATATCAACTTTGTAGTGTATAAGAAATCATTCTGTTTTCTTTCAAGACTGAATCAAAAGAAAAATTGGGGAATGGATAAGAGAAGGGCTGAAAAATAATTCCTAGCAAAGTAAAAAATTTCTACTTCTGAGTCTACATTAATGCAACCACAGATCAAGAGTATAAAATAATCTAAGATTGCATAATCCATCAGCAATCGAGAAGTAGTGCATTTCAACTTGTGACACAATCTTGAAGATGAGGGTGACTTTGATTTATATACTTGTCCCATAGTGGCTTGTACCTGCCTATAGCTAACTTCAACCACGGTTTCATGTTCCCATTGAAGTGAATAACTGCTGCACTTTCAATGAGGCGGTTGTCAATATTTAGGTCATAACCCAATCCTAAAACATGCCATCTTCTGTCAAGTGGCTCTGTCAAACCATAAAAACATAGAAGAGCAGGAGGAAGTGTCCCCAGCTTCCAGAGTGTCCCATCAGCATTCTGCTCTTGCCAATAGTGATATCTTGTGGTCACATTTGCCTTCCTCCATGCAACCAAGTCAAAAATGTTCATACCAAATGCCCATGCACATGCCTGCGGATCAAACCTCGAGCTGATAATTGAATTTGAGAAGTTGAGATACTTGTAGTATCGATGAAATGCTTCCAGACAAGTTTCAACAGCACCATTCACATTCCCATGCAAATCCAGAGAGAAAAGGGGGGTCAGATCTTTCTGGACAACAAGGTCATCATCCAGGAAGACAACCTTTTCAAGTTGTGGATAAATCTCAGGGATGTAAAACCGAAGATGATTCAATAAAGACAGATACTTGGGGTTCCGCATTTTGGGTTCAACATTTAAATCTTGATATGCTCCAAAATAGAAGGTTCGAGAATCAGGACTGTGGAGCTGCTTGACAAGAGGAGAATATGATGCATTCAACCAATGAAACTCCTCAATGTTCTGTACCTCTATGGTGGCTCCTTTAAAGTCGTTAAGCAGGAACCATGCTAGCATTGCTCCATAATTGACTCCATTAGTGACAATGTGAAAGACCAATTGCTTTGGATGGTCAGCATTGGAGACAGTTGAGTTTACAACTACAGATGTTGCCAGAACATTATCTGAAAAAATGCAGAAATGATATAGGTTGTTGTCCACAAGCCTTGGGGAGTTTTTCCTCTCATCTGAGAGTTCCTGCAGGGATGGCATCCTCAGCCAATCAGACATGAGTTTCACATTTAGGCAATGAAGACTCTTAGGTACTGCTTCAGCTGCCATTTGACCAAACACGGTGCTTTGAACTATTGCTGCATTGGCTCGCTCTTCTAGAGCTTGAATATGTGATTTCATGGTTACTATTGTGGTTGCAATGTCATAATGGATGTCTTGTGCCTTAAACATTAGAAGAGAAAGGCTTTTAATAATTGGCTCTGCTTCCTCCAACGTAATGGGCTCACCAGTCATGGCAGCTTTTGAAAGCAAAAGCTGGCAATTTCTGATCTTTGAGCTAAGCTGCCAGGCAAGGTGAAGATTGTTGTGTTCTTTGGCAATAACCACATAAGCTTTGGCCAGAATCATTTGTTCTGCTAACTGTCGCGAAAATGATGTGACACTTAAAATCTCTTGAGTAAAATTCAAACTCTCCTTATCAAAATGTTCAACTCTTGCATTTCTCTCCTGAAAAACAATGTCACCTGCTCCATTAGTATCCAAAAGGGAGAGATAAGGGTATACTTGTAAGTGGTAACAATAGTAACTAAGATATATGGAGCTATAATATATCTCTTCTAGTGGTCTATAGAAATGGATAAGTTCTCTGGGACTCTAAGTCAAGGTCCCTGGTCTTTCACTTCCACAGCCTATTTTACATGCATCAGTAATCTTCGATACCCACTCTTTTACACTGTCAAAGGATATTTAATCCTGTTTAGCACTTCATATTAATTAGCAATTACTCAACTTCTGCTTTTGATATCATACAGAGAATTAAGTTTGAAATAAATTGATGCATACAGAAGCAAAAGTGTACAATTAGCATCATGACCCGGTTTAGATAAACCTCTCCATACGGAATTATAAAAGAAATATGAAAGTAAAATCAGTAAACCTCTCTCATAAGTTAAAACAAGCTATAAACCTCAGCTTCTGGAGAAATTAGATAAATTTTCAAAAAAGTTGAGCTACATATGTTGATTTCAGTTTATGTCTTAGTGAGAAGTTTATTTTATTTTACCTTTGCATTTAATTTTTTCCTATTAGTGTTTATCAACAAGTTTTGCCAAACTAAACCCATATTCATGAAAAAAAATTCCTGAGATGCATGTCATGGATTTATATATGTTTCTGATTGTTGGATGACTTGAATAAGCTTTTGATAATAACCACAAAGGATGTCGAACACAATAGAATGATGAAAAGTTGATCATCTCTCTGACTAACTACGTTTCTGAATACAGGTCAAATGAACAGGAGATGCATTATATACAGGCTTTGATGTACAAGTAAATACAGAACAGTTTCCAAACCGAGTACCAATTTGCTTTACTTCCTTCTTCTAATAGGATTCAAACACAGATTCCATTGTACGCAAAATACAAATGAAAAACTAGTTTTAACATGCTAAACAAAAGCCACTTGTAACAAAGTAAACAGATTCAAACTATATAAATAGAGTCCTGGAGGCTCCTCTTCTGAAAGGAGCAAATAAGTTGAATCCATCCTCGATTTGACATACAGAGCACAGTGAACATATCCTACTCAAATTAAAAAACATATTGTTGGTTCACTGTATGCATACTTCATCCATCAGAAAATCTAGGGACATTTGAATAGGAGTGAAGCTAGTGAATAAGAGTGAGCAATCGAAAACACGTAATTTGAATTAAGATCCAGTAAGTAACATCATAAACTTACCATGTAAGTAAATATAAGATATATAAGAGTATGGTATGAATTAATCACCATTGGAAATGAAAAGAGAAGGGAGAAGGTAAGAAATACCGGCAAAGGATTATGATGCGGATCTTGGTGGTGGTTGTGTTGAAGGAAGAAGAGAAGGAGAGCGAGGATAGAGGAGAAGGCGAGAAGAAGCCAGATCCAATTTGAAAACCTCCGTCGGACCGGGCGCCGAAAATCGGCAGCCCGTCGTCGCATCTTTCACCAATTCACCACCCAATCCACAGCGGGCGGCAACCCAACAGCATCAATTGAATTGAATTGTGGATTCCAATTCCAATCTGAATCACACAGCAGTTCCTATTCTCTGGTGCTTCTGAGGGAAGGAAACATGCAATTGCACACCTTTACTCACTGTGTCTGGAGATTCATTCACTCCCTTAATGAACCAGAAACAAAGATAAAGAATGAGGCCATGAAATGAAACCTATGTGTAGGGATGGAAGCTGGTCACTTCTGACCTGTTACCCTCTTACACTTAGCCAACTCTTATATTATTTGTTACGGTCAACACAACTTTTACTTTCAAAACTTTAATTTATTAATAATTCAGTTATATTTTATAAGAAAAAAAATCCCATTTTTATAAATATAGTTAATTATATTCAATAAATTTTTTTACAATTTTAAATGGTATTTATTATGTTAACGTATATTTTTTATTTAAAGAAAAATTAAAATAATATTAAAATATTAATAAAATTTAATGTATTGAATTACTTTCCTTAATTATATAAGTTTTTCTCTTTTTTTTTTTATAAATAAGAACCAAAACATAATTTATTATTATTTTAATTGATGAAATTATTCAAATTAGAAAGAAGTTTTGATTTATAAGAAAAGTGAAAAAAAGCGATAAAATTCAAAACATAAAATATCAAGAAAATAAATAAAAATTTTCCTTATTTCATAACATCAAATATGTTATTTTTCAAAATAATAATTATTTTTATTTAAAATTTTATAATATATATATATTATTATCTTAATATTTATATTATAAAAATTAATGATTTAATATATTTAGAAATATTATGTGATGTTATTTTATTAATTTAAATTTAAATATTTTAAGAAAAATAATAAAATATTTTATAATTATATAAAAAAATATTTTATATTAATTTAAAATTTTTAATTTAGAAAGATACTTATTATTCATTAATAATTATATATGTAAATAAATAAATTTATCTTATTTGTTTATTATTTTTTTAATTAATAATTTTCTTATTTTTATAATCATGTTAAGTAATTTGATAAAAATAATTTTATCTTTTATGTGCGACAAAAAAATTCAAATAAATTAGAGATAAAATCAAAGTTAACTAAAGAATTAATTTATAAAAAAATTTAGTTTTAGCGTTTAATTTATTTTTTTTCAGTCATCCTCTATAGTTTTTTAGTCTGATTGTATATTTATTGTTTTGATAAATTTAAATATTTAAATTTAATATTCATTACATTTATGTTAATTATATATATAATTTTAAATTTATTGTTTTTCTTGTAATTATGAAAATAAATAATTAAATATATTGAATAAAAAAATTTAAAATATTTTGTATTATTTATATTGTTGTATTCTTTTATTGAGAGTGTTTAAGTGTCCACTTAAAATAAAGAATATTAAATTAATATTGATAAATTAAAAGTAGTGTAATTTATATATATATATATATATATATATATATATATATATAATTACAAATTGTCTTATGTCACACCTTTAAGTTTTATTTATTTATTATTATTGTTATTTTTTAATTCTTAAACATAATTACTCAATCTTATTGTAGTATTTAAAATAAATTATATTTATAATTAAATAATTTGATAACAATGATTTTGTCTTTCATGTGCACAAAATCAAAAACTTCAAATAAGTTAGAGATATAAATCAATTAACTGAATAAATAATTTATAAAAATTAGAGTTTAGATTTTTTTTTTCAGTCATCGTCCAATTTTTAAATTTATTTATATATTTATTATTTGATTTATTTCAATTTGTTTTAATATTTAAATTTAATATTTTATTATATTTATGTTAATTATATATAATTTTAAATTATTTTTTTAATTATTAAAATAAATAGTCAAATATATTGAAAAAAATTAAAAAGATTCTATATCCTCTATATTTTTATATTCTTTTATTATTAGTGTATAAGTATGTACTTGAAAGAAATAATACTGAATTTATTAATAAATAAAAGAGTATTATAATTAAAAAAAAATAACTTATTACAAATTGTCCAATATCACACCTCCTCCAATTTGTATTTATTTATTTATTATTAGTATTTTAATTCTTAAATATGATTACTCAATTTTATTGTAATATTTAGAATAAAAGTAAATAAGTTTATAGACTACAAATAAACTGATGGTGAGAGTGACAATAACATTACATTTATAATTATTGTTTTTACATTTAAAATGTGTTTTGAACATATTTTAAAATATAAATATAGAGTGATATGATTAATATATAATATTAGTTCTTTCAATGTTGATCCCATCCATTAATCATTCACTATGAATAAAAAAATATTTAAATTACAAATATTTTTGTTATCATGTTTTATAATCATTATTTAAAATTTCATTGCATAACTTTAAAATATAAATTAATTTTAGTAAACATAATTAATAAATTAATCAAATAATAAGTCCGTAAATCAAATATTAATAATTTAATGAATAAGTAATTAACTTAAGAAGTTAATAAAATAATAAATGAATAAGTAAATAATTTAATTAATCAATAAGTTCATAAGATAATAATTATTAACAAAATAACAAATAACTTAATAAATTAGTATTTGAATAGATTGATAAATGTTAATAAGATAATAAATTAATAAATCAATAAGTTAATAAATTAACGTATTTTCCTACCAAATAGTGGTAGATGCATTCTTCGTCGTATTTAAAGAAAAATAAATAAAAAATTGAATTTAGGGAGTTTAGGAATTCAAATTTAAATGCAAAATAAATAAAAAAAAACACTAAAAGTGTAAATAAAATAGGATCATTATATAAATTAATAGTAACAGGCACATGAACGCCTGTATTTCTATATTTTTTATTGTATTTTTTTATGAAATAAGATTTTTATATATAATTAAGATAAAAAAGAAAAGTAAAATAATAATACGAGGATGTTTAAAGGAGAGAAAAAATTAACATGGTATTCAAAATAAAAGAGAAATTACATTTTTTTATTAATTGTATTAAATAAAATAAAAGAAGCGTATAATTATAGAAAAGAAAAGATACAAAATTAAGATAAATATGATATTAAACTATAGAAGAAAAAAAAGTTTTCTTTATATATTATTAGTGAAAAAATACGCAGATATAGTCTAATTTTTTATTTAATTAATTTCTTTTAAATATTGTTTTAAATTTTATTTTATTTTATCTTTTTACTTTTTAAATATATCTGTTTTAAATATTTTTATTATTTTTTAAATATATAAATTATAATATAGTTTTAGACCATGGGAAGCACCTTTATCCGTGTTTTTATTATTATTTTTAATTTATTATATATATATATATATATATATATTAATCTTAAAATATAAATATTTATTTTTAAAATTATAAATTTTGAAGTAAATAAGTGTGAGACACAATTTTAAAAAATAAAGAGAGAATATAATTAAAAAATAAAAGATATATCTTTTATTATTTGTATTTATTATTTTATATTTCAACGAAGACTACGAAAAATTGATTAAAAGTAGTTGATAAAATAAGATATAATATAAATATAAATTATGTTTTTTCTATAATGAAAAAGTTATAAAAGTAAAAGTAGATAAATAAAAAACATAATATATCCTTTAAATTTATATTAATAAATGTTACTAATTTATTTTTTGAATTATCACTGTATCTCATATTAGTTATTTTGTACTTTATAAATTTAAACAATGATAAAAATAAAGTCAACGAATTATTATATTTATATGTTTTAAATTATTATTAAATAAAAAATGATTAAAATTATTATTATTATATTATGATTTAAGTCACAAGATTAGATTCTTATCTATATGGTTGGATCTTGAATTGATGATGATAAATTATACATGTAAAGATTGAGAGACTTAGATTAACTATAACAAATTATATAAGTAAAATAGAACCCAATCAAAATATATTGTATCATATTAGAAATATTAAATAAAACTAACTCAGATTATGTTAATATGTTGAGATAAGTTAAGTTATATTAGGATGAGTAAAGAGTAATCACACTATTTCAAGTTGAATTTGGTCTAAATATGTTAAATCAAATCATAAATTAATATGATAAATCAAGATAAAAAACAATAGGTCAGCCCAAAATATGTCAAATTATGATGAATTATATTAATATTAATTGAATTAAATCAATATGAGACAAATTGGGATGAAGTAGGCTATGATTATTTTGGCTTAGATGGGTTAAACTTGAAGAATTAATGTTTTATTAGGTTAGGTTAAGATAATTCATGTCGAAATAAGGTAGACTAAGATGAGATAGTTAGGTTAGATTCATATACGATGACTAAATTGAGAATGATTGATTCAAAATGATTCGATAGTGATAAAAATATATTTAAGTTAAATTATACTTGATTTAGGTTGAATTAGGTAAACTTGTATTAAAATGAGTTGGTAAAAGAGAAAATATAAAAATAATTGATATAAATTTGAGGAATGAAAAATAGTAGAATTTAAATTTTTTATTTTTAAAATAAAATTTAAAACTATCTTATTTTAAGTAATGAAAATATTTTTATCAATTTTTTAAATTTTAATTATTTTCTAAATTCTTTATCTAAATAATTATTTTTTACAAAATATCTTAAATACTCTAATAAAATAAATTATTTTTTATAATTTTCGTCTCCAAACGGAAGGTAAATGTTTTGTATACTTTAAAACATCTGCAATCCACAAAATTGTTATTTTATCTCCTTTCGTAAAGATTACTCTGTAACCAATTTAACACCCTAAATGCTATTCTGAAATTAATTATACTCTATGATAGAATCTCCATTCCGTTATGATAAATGTTTTTTCAAAGAATAATTCTGAATTAAATAGAAGTATTTTAAAAATATTTTTGAAGAGTGTTTCCAGAATGATGTCATCGGGAGAGATTAGTCATCTAAATTTTAAACATATTTGGGATAACCTGAATCATATTGCACTTTAGACTTTACTGGGCTAGCTCCTTTTTACACTGGGAACCCAGCCCATAACAAATTAAGTTCTCTCCATTTTATTATATCTCCTTCCTGGCATATCTAGTTAACTTGTACCTAATAAAATTCACTGCAACTTGCAAAGGACTATTTTCAAAATGCACAAGTAAACGTATATTTATAATTTAACTTGAAGTACACTAAAAGTTGCAGCAACCAATTTGAAGAAGGAAGCAATTTAGAGACAAAATTAACATTTAACAAATGGTCATAATACTAAGCCAGAAGCCAAAATTTTTTATGGCGTTTGGTAGTAATCAAGTAGCCTCCATGTTTCTTATTCTTCCTCCTGATCGCAATAGTCATGCAGGGAGAGTTGTGTATACAATACTCGACGAAACCAGGTCGTGTTCCCTTTCGCACCCATCTTCGCATGATGCACCACAAGAAGGATCGCTTTCTTTGTCCCACAACCAACAATGACACCCTCTGTTGCTTTGCCTCTTCCACTATGGCAACACCCTTTTCCTCTCCTTCCACCATCACTACATTCACCACCACCTGAAAAACCCGTCAACACAACACGTTACCTCTTCTCCCACACACATGCATTTCATGACAAACACAGTAACGTTTCTCTAAACAAACTTACCCCGGGTCTCTTCGTTTCGCAGATACTTTTCAAATCAAGGAGAAGTTGATAAGCCTTCACATTAAACTTCCCCCCAGATTCCGTATCTGTGAACACAAACTCAAAGCTTTGTCAAAACTTGTATAGAAACTTACCAATGCTTGGTCAGATAATTTAGAAACTTTTACTGTGAAATTTTAGGTAGAAACAGAAAATACAATATTACTTCTCACCTTCCCTGTTGGGTCTGGTGACATGAACATGAACAAGAACAAGAGTGTCCTGGCTTTGAACAGTGTGAGAAAGTGCCCAATCAAGAGCCCCCTTAGCTTCAAAGCTAGAATCCACAACCACCATTATCTTATTCCCTGATTCAGCCCCGTTAGAGCCGTGGCCTGCGTTGTCTGAATACTCAGTTCTGTTTGCATATTTGATAGAAGCAGAGGAGGGGGACTTGGACCGAAAAGTAGATGCAGAACAGGCTCGAACACGAGGCGTGGCGTGACCAAAGCACAACCTGATACGTGGCCTTCCCATGTCGGGTTAGTCCCAAAGGACTCAATCGGTGTCCTTATATATACACACAATAGGGAACCAAATTAATGAAGGCCAGCTTTTTTGTCACACTCACTCTCACCCTTGACTTTTATTTGGTCCTCTTTGTTCTCTTCTGATCCTCTCCTTCAAATGCCAATTAATGGTTTCTTCGTCTGTTTTCGTGCGATTTCTTCGGTGTGGGGCTATTCTTCAACGTGCCACCCATCAAGAGCAGTTTGCATGATGGACAAGAGTTGACAATGTTGACATCAATTCTTTAATCCTTAATGGTTTCCACACGCGTGGAAGAATAATTCTCAAGACAACAGCCACTAGTAGAAAAATCATCAAGTTAAGGAGTTTATACAAAAAAAAATATTTATATCAAATCGAGGAGTCATGGAGATCACGTTCATTTAGAATTTTAAGCTATTGAAACATGGAGTCACGTAATCTGAAGGAGTTCAGAGATTCCCTTCTCACAAAATTCATAAAACATCCTTCCATTATTGGATGTGAAGATGCTCTCTTCAAGGAAACTATGAAGAAGTTGTTAAACTTATTATTGTTTTTAAGTGATAATTAAGCTCCCAAAAATGGTGGCCAGAGTTTTTATTATTGTTTCCGTGCAAATGTCTTTTTTATATAAGATAATTGTGTTTAAGATATGATTAAACGTGTACCTTTCCTTGCTACAATTTATGTGAAGAACTGAATCATTGTATCAAATCTAATCCTCAATAGTTAGTGTTTCTGTTTTATTTAACAATTTTATATTGTGTTGTCCATTCCATAACAAGGAAATGAAAATATGAGAAAAATAAAAAAAGGTGAAAATATACGTATTCATTAAAGACAAAAACCGACATCAAACCCAAAAAAAAATTATTAATTTGAAAACATAATAAATAAATAATTAAAATTAAATATTTATATAATTACAAAATTATTCATATATTTTTTTATAAATGAAATAATTTTTTAAATTACTGTAATAAAATTAAGATCTCATTTTTAATATTATATTTTGATATATAAATATATATTTTTTATTATAATGCTTTAAGATATTTTATTTTAAGTTAATAAAATAATACTAGATTAAAAACATAAAAAATATATTAAAATGTTTATTTTAATTTTTAAATGAAAAAGTAACATACATGTATAAATTAAAATTGTACATATAGATTTACCTTTTTTTTTCCTCATATAAAAAATAAAAATAAAACATGTAAGTTATAAAATAGAAAATGATATTTTTCTTATTTTGTTTCTTTATTATCTAATAATGAAATAAAGTAGTAGCATTGATTTCAGTTATTTGTATTGTATAAAAATATAATATGAAATGAAGATAGAAGGAAGTAAAATTAATGAAGTGTTAATATTTTATTAAAAAAAACTGAAATTAAAATTATAGTCTTGTTAATAATGAAATAACAATTTTGTTTGATTTCATCTATTTTTGGAGATATTGATTAAGTAGACCTTGCAGTTCTACTAAGTGTTTTGAGTGTAGTTGCGAGTTTGGACGAAACGGGTTTTGGTCCAATTTTGATGGGCCCACATAGCTGTGTGAATCTTCGCGGCTTGGGTCCATGAGTATGGACTCTTGAGTTTTGTGGACCCATAAAAGAGGGGTTATGTTATGGAGTTCAACAATATTAAAAGAATAAAAAAACATCATCATTTATCTCTCTTGTGATTCATACGTAAAAGTAAAACTTGTTGAATTTTAAATGGAGATTGAAACGTAAACTTCATCAATTCAAAGTTTTTATTTCAAAAATAAAATATCGTAATTAGTAGAATTAGATTGTAAAAATACATCACGTAGATCGATAAAAGGTTTAAAAAATAGATTATGTGATATAAAAAAATTTAATCTAAATTGAATTAGAATAATTTTATTTTGAATTCATTTAAACCATAAATGAAATGAGTTTAAGTTAAATTAATTTATAAGTTTATGGATATAATTGTTTATAAAATAATAACTATTTTAAAATAAAAATTAATATTATTTATTAATAATATATATTATTAATTAAATTAATAAAAAAATTATTTATTTTAAATATAAATATAAATCTTTAATATCCATTTATTCATCAATTATTATTTTAAATTATTCCATTATTAAACCAATAAATGATGATAAGAAAGAAAAAAAATTATGAGTGAATAAATCATCAAACGTGAAATAAAAATTAATTTAATCAATTAAACTTAAATTTTAAAAATATATTTTTAATTTTTATTTGTATTTAAAATATGTTTTTAATTTTTTTAATTAATTATGTTTATATAAATATATTATTAATTTTTTAGGTTTTAATAAGGTTAAATTGATTTATTAGTTTCTTTGTAAACACACCTAAAAATACTACTGAACAGAGAACAATATTTTTCCTCTTATATTTAAAAAAGAAAAGAATGTGATTTATATGCAATAAATATCAGACGTAACGAACAAAATAAATTTAACAAACAAATGCAAATATCCATGCATTTTGACTTAACTAAACAACATGTCTCGTTAAGTAAAAAATGAATAATACCCAGATACTATCTGAGTTTACAGAGCCTAGCAGCCTTTAAAGACTTCGTGTTGCAGTATTCTCATCTCCAGTTTATTGTCATTGACTTGTTCCTATAAGAAGTGGAACCTAGTCTCTATATGCTTGTTTTTCCCATGAGTAGATGGGTGTTTGGCTAAGTCTATTCTAGACTTGTTATCAACGAGCAGTTTTGGTGGTTGAACCAATTCTGCATTTAGCTCTTTCAATAGCATTCTGAGCCATGCAGCTTGACATGTAGCTTGAGAAGCAGTTGTGTACTCTGTTTCACATGAGGACAAAGCTACAACCGGTTCTTTGACTGAATTTCATGAAACTGGTCATTCCCCAGAGTAAAACATGTATCCTGTTGTGCTTTTTCTATCTTCCTTATCACCACACCAGTCCGCATTTGCACATCCCACTAACTCCATCACATTTTCTGACTTCTTGCACAAAAAGAATATCCCAAGATTGCACGTCCCTCGCAGGTATCGTAGGATACGCTTCACGACATTCATATGACTGTGCTTGGGATTCTGCATGTATCTACTGACTATGCCAACTCCATAATTCAAATCTGGTATGGAGTTGCATAGATACCTCAAACTTCCTATAATTATGCGAGATTTCGTTTGGTCAACATCCTCTTCTTCGGTGTTTCTTTCCAGCTTCAGTCCCACTTCTGATGGTGTGATCGCAGTATTACAATCTTTCATTCCAAACTTGCCCAGAAGATCCCCTGCATATTTCATTTGATGCATGATGGTTCTAGATTGTGTGAATTGAAACTCAATTCTTAGAAAGTAGTTGAGTTTCCCAAGATCGCTCGTCTCAAACTCACTAGACATCTGGGATTTGAACTTTGCTATAGCTTCTGGTTTGCTTTTGGTTACCAGCATATCATCAACGTAAAGGCATATTATCATCCTTTCTTCTCTATCTTTGTTCTTCCAGCCTTTGGTATAGACTCCCTGTTCTGATACACACCTCATAAAGCCAAATTTCTGTAGAAACTTGTCAATCCTGTGGTTCCAAGCTCTCAGGGTTTGCTTGAGACCATACAGAGCTTTGTTGATCTTATACACCTTGTGCTCCTGACCTTTTACAGTGAAACCTTGTGACTATGATACGTAAATTTCTTCTTCAAGATAGCCATTCAGGAAGGCGGATTTCACGTCCAATTGATGCATAGGCTAGTTCTCCCAGGTTGTGATTGCTACAATAATTCTCACGATTTCCATTCGAGCTACAGGTGCGTAAATTTCTCCATAACCCACTCCAGCCTTCTGAAGGAATCCTTTGGCGACAAATCTCGCATTGTATCTCACAATTTCTCCCTTTGAATTTGCCTTGATCTTGTACACCCACTTTAAAGTAATGGGTCTTATGTTAGGAGGTAAATATACCAATGTCCATATTTCATTCTTCTCTATGGACTCAATCTCTTCCTCCATAGCATGTGTTCAGTGCTTGTTGTGGATGACATCACAAGATTCTACTGGTTATACTTCAGTATCAAAGCGAAGTGAACGAAATTTCCTTGCTCCGTCACAACCAAATAATTGAAGACTTCGTAATCCTTGAAACATGTAGGTGGTTGTGTAACACGTTGTGGTCTCCTTGCTTGCTCATTAGACTCCTGCTGCACTGTTACATCATCTATAGATTCATCATTAAATGAAAGTAAAGGTGTTGTACCTGGTTTGTTTCCCTAATTATCATCTTGTCAATCCTAACACGAGCTTTCATCGACAATAACATCCCTACATATGATCACCTTTCGGGTACTGGATCGAACAACTTATAACCTCCTGTGGAGTGGTAACCAATTAGAACTACCATAACACCTTTATCATCAAGCTTGCTGCGTATTTGATCTAGAACTCGATGAAAACATAGAGACCCCAAAATTTTCATATGTGTGACATCTAGTTTTTGTCCAAACCATGCTTCCTCAGGCGTTACACCATCCGGCCTCTTTGTTGATGATATGTTTAGAACATATACAACAGTGAAAACTGCCTCTCCCCACATAAATTTTGGAACATTTTTGCTCTTGAGCAAGCATCTCACCATGTTGAGCAGTGTCCGATTTCTCCTCTCTGCTGTGGAGTATAAGGAGATGAGGTGTTGCTTCATGAACTATTCCATTCTCCTCACAATAGCTTTTGAATTTTTTAGAATTATACTCCCCTCCTCCATCAATTCGCAGCCTCTTCAATGGTTTGCCCCATTGTTTCTCAGTAAGTGCTTTAAATTGTAAGAAAACTTCAAAGGCTTCACTTTTCTTTCATAAACAATAGACCCGTAGTTTTCTTGTAAAATCATCAGTAAACGTGATGAAATATCTATTACCTGTTAGACAAATGACATCTAGAGGGAGGTGAATAGATGCACAAATTAAAATAGATGTCAAATTAAAAATTTATTTGTGAGTCAATAATTTGTTTGAACATAGATAAAGCGGAAACAATAATATAATCAGGAAAAGAGAAAGAGATAAGGGAAAGAGAAGAGCACACAAAGATTTATATTGGTTTGGGTATAACCAACCCTACATCTAGTTCACAGTCAACTCTTAACACAAGAGTGACTCCACATTCACTATCTTTCAAATTCAGTTTACAAATTACAATCAACTCAGCAGAAGAACCAGTAAAAAGTAAACTAATTAAAAAGACAATCACCTCCTTAAAAACCCACTAAGGATGAACACCTCCCTAGAATCCCACTAGGGATGAACACCTCCTCTGAATAAATCAAAGAATGAAAACACCTCCTTAGAATCCCACTAAGGATGAACACCTCCCTAGAATCACACTAGGGATAAAAAACACCTCCTTTTCACCAATACAAAAAGGATGAAGGTAATAAAAATAAGAACAAACACACCTGGGTAATGGAGACAACAAATTGTAGAAGCCTATAGAATGTCAATCTCCAAGAACAAGTGTGATTAACAATGAAAGCACAGAAGACAGTAGAGAAGAAGGTTTTCTCAGAGGGTGTAAAATATCTCTGTTGCCTTGCTCAAAATTCTTTTCTCAAAACTGATTGAATATAAATTGTATTTTCGAATTCTGTAATTGTGTGTTTTTTATTTTTCATCAAAACTTAATTAAATAGAAAAATAGCATCAGAAAATGACCGTTGAACATTTATAATATCATAGAGAAAATCGGGATATATTCAAAAACATTTTTTCTTTAAAACGGATATATTTTTCAAATTTGAATTGTCATAATTGATTATATTACCAGTATAATTAATTATGATATAGAAAATCATTTTTCCATTTCTGATGCATCATAATTAATTATGACAGAGAAAAATATCATGTTATGAATTTTATCACACTTGTGCTTTGGAGGCTTATGCATAATATTACTTTATCAACTTGTACCTCCATATGCAGTATTCTAAGACTCTATCTAGTCTTCAGGAATCATCTTGGGCTTGCTTGAATCATCATCTTTATCAATAACATATCTTGGGCATGTAGGGAAATGTTTCATATTTTCACCAACGTCATAAATTCAGTTTGTCCTTAATTCATCTTGAATGGTGTTGACTTGAATGTAGTTGACTTGAATCATCAACAAAATCATCTCTTGGGAATGTAGGGACATTTCCATCAATCTCCCCCTCATTGCTTTCACTACCACCTGGCGTCTCAACTTGAAATTACCCGCAAATGTCTGAATGCACCAGCTCGAGTTTTCCTGTAGTTTTCAGAGGCACATTTCTACTGAATTTGTTTCTTGTTTGTTTGCACTGCACGCACTCTTTACAAACTTCTTCCGGAATTAGAACATGAGGCATGCCAATCACCATTTTCCTCTGACCAAGTTCCCTTAAATCACGAAAATTCAGATGCCCGAATCTAAGGTGCCACAACCATTCATTCTTATCATTGACAGCAGTAAAACATTCGTGCTTCAGAGTATTCATTTTGACTTGAAATGTTCTATTGGAAGAAAGGTTGGTATGTATGATCAACTTCTTGGTTTGATCATAAACGCGCAAGGAATTTTCCTCCAGTGTCATCCTGAAACCTTTTTGCAGTAACTGACCCAGGTTCAACAAATTCGATTTCAAGCCTGGCACATACAGAACATTCTCAACTATCACCTCTTTTCCTTCATAACCTTCAACACAACTCGACCAGTTCCTTTTGCAATGAGGGAACTATCATATGCATAACGAATTCTTTCCTAACTTACCTCATTCAGCTGAATGAACCATTCCTTCTTTCCGGTCATGTGCGTGGAGCAACCGGAGTCCAAATACCAAGAGTTCTCACTCTCCATTTTTGCATCTGTTTCAGCCATCAACATGACAACCTCTTCATCAGAATTATCTTCCTCTGCTAGATGAGCTCGTGAATATTTCTTTGGTTTGTTTTTGGCTCCATCTCCATTCCAACAGTCTCGTGCATAATGACCAAACTTTTGGCAGTTATAACACTTAACTTTCTTCTTATCAAATTTCTTCTCTTTCTCCTCTCCAGAACCCTACTTCTGTTCTTTGATTTTCTACTCATCAAAATCAACTTTCTTCTTCATCTTGCAACCTTTCTTGAAGTCTTTCTTTTGCTTCCCATTCGTTCTTGCATGAAGAACTTGTTCTTGATAGGATTTCCGCTCAGACATATGTAACTCATGAGCTTCGAGTGAATGTTGTAGCTCCTAGAAGGTTAGCACATCCAAGTCTTTCGTCTCTTCAATTGTGATCACAAGATAGTCGAATCTTGGAGGTAGTGAACATAGAATTTTGTTCACGATATGTTGTTCAGACACTTTGTCACCACAAGAACGCATACCATGGACGAGTTCCTGGATTTTGTTAAGAAACTCAACCACAAAATCATTATCCTCCATAATGAGAAATTCAAATTGCCTTCGTAGAGCTTGCAACTTCACTTTTTTATGTTTATGTCCAACACCATACGTAGCAACCAAAATGTCTCACGCCTCCTTTGTCGTGTCTGCCATGAAAATCCTATTAAAGATAGATGAACTTACGCATTGATAGATAAAAAATCGAGCCTTGCCATTAAATTTTTGTTTTATCTTGTAAGCCTTCTTCTCCTCGGTGGCTCTGGCATTAGGTTGTGAAACGCCTTGTTTAATTACCTTGACAACATCTTGAAAGACGAACACAACCTTCATCTTGATTCTCCAATCATTGAACATGCTTCCATCGAAAATAGGTAAGCCACCTTGAATGAAGCCACTAGTCTCAGCCATGCTATGCCTTTGATCACCCTCTTGAATGCCTTAGAGTTATCTTGTTATTTAACAAAGACGTAACTCCTTCCAACTTTGGAAAATGCACACACACCACTCTATATTACGCACAATATAATTGACCCAGCTAGCATACACGCTCTAAGAACCGAATTTGGATCGTAAAAGCTCTTGATATCATGTAAACACACGTAAAAAAACTACTGATAAAAAATAATACTTTTTCTCTTATTATTCAAAAATGAAAAAAACGTGATTTATATACAATAAATAACAGACGTAACGATCTAAACAAATTTAACAAACAAATACAAATATCCATTCATTTTGACTTAACTAACAACAACATTCTTAACCTATTATAAAGTTATATTAAAAATAATCATGACCTCTTTTGAAATATAATATCTTGAACCGAATTGTTCTCGAGAACCGTACCTATTCACTTTACAAATTAAAAAATGATTATAATTTAAAGAAAAATAAATAATTAATCAAACTGGAAAATAAATTATAATTTCATTTCCAAAGTTTTAAAAAGTATTAATATTTTAAAAGACTTACATTCCAGTAAATTTAACTTTGAAGAAATTTTGATGAAGTATAAAAAAAAAAAAAACTAACTAGGTGCAGTAAAAATATTACATTTTGAAAGGGTGACAACAAATTACTGTTACCCATATACAATTTATACATATTAAAATGAAATAAGTATATTACTTCTTTGAAAAGATTATATACTTAATAGCTAAAAGTCAAAATATCATGAATTTTAGATTTGCCTCAGTCAAACTTGGACCTTTTTATCAAACTCAATTGTATCAGTATATATAATATATATGTAGTGTCCTTAGCAACCTTAAAATGCAGTCAGAATCTTAACATACAGATTTAGTGACCATCAAAATGTCTATGGATGTAGTGTAGTTTTTGTACAAGTCGTATCATCCTATTTAATAAGAACAACCTTCTTCTATTTCATCTGTAGGACGAGTCATCCATGGGGGAAGTACGGTTTTAGGGCGAGTGGACGTTGGAGTTCCTTCATTACTTTTGCCTTCAGACCCACTGCATCAAGGCACCCTTTTGTAAGATTTTTTTTTTACTATCTGTTCAAATTAATACTAACAGTGGTTTTAGAAAAACTAACAGTATATCTATTAAACTTCATACTTTTTATTATAACATATTAATCACATTTTCTATATCTTTTTCATTTTCATAACTATCACTTAATTTCTTCTTTATTATTTTTTTCTTTATCTATCACTTCACTTCAAAAAAAAAAAACTAATATATAAACAATACAATATGAAAAAAAAAATCATTTGTTAACATTTCTACTCATAAAAAAATTATAAAACTATCACATCTTTATTCTACCTTTGTATAAGAAATATTATCTGAGCTAGATTGTCAAAGAGTTATAAAAATTCACATACCACTCTTTTTTACTAAACACCTTAATAACATCTATATTTATGTCTTTTATTTTATTTTGTTGCATATTTTGGTTAGTTATTATTAAGATATTGAATGGGTGGTTAAACTTTAGTGAGTGTCTTTTTATGTTTTTCCTATAAAAATGGGTTTTAGATAGAGAAATACAAAAGAAAAAAAAAATGTTTCTTAATATATAAAAGTGACAGTCTTAGAAAGCAGAACAAATAAATTAGATAGTATGCAGTTGGGCTTAATATTTCATGCATAAATTTACAAGCGGTTAAACTGTAAAGTCATCGTGATATATGTTGAGACAAAAAAATGACAAAGTGTCTACAATATAAGAGTGAAATTGGTTTCAGGCATCCAACATGAAATGGTATATGCAAAAGGTAGCAGAAGATGGAAGGCAAAATGAATTCATGCAAATGCAGACAGATGGTAAGAATTCATGCATATATACTCGCAGAAAGACATGATAAGAGCAATTCAGTTTATGAACGCGAAGATACTAACCCAATATTTAGGGACTCCAATGGTTGAGTTATAACGACAGAAGTCAACCCCTCTTGCTCTTGAGAGGCCAGTGCCTTCTTTTCCTTTATCTGTTGTTCTCTCGAACCATGTTATTTACTAAGATTTGAAATCCAAATTGCACAAGCTGTTAAATACAAAATGTTGTTACCTTCTTGGCGAGCAAGTTGTTATGTTCCCGGAGTTCCCTATCCTGCATGATGGAACAGTACTAGTACTTATGTAACTTTAATCAAGTTATGATTTATGCCGGAGGCAGCTGATCCAAAACTTTTGGTCAATGAAAACAATTTGTGCATAATGGTACTGAAAATTAAAGTTAAAAATACCTGTATCAATCTTGTATTCATACTTTTTTGGGATATATATATATATATATATATATATATATATATATATATATATATATATATATATATATATATATATATATATATATATATATATATATATGTGTGTGTGTGTGTGTGTGTGTGTGTGTGTGTGTGTGGGAAACCATGTATGTGTGCACTACTTTCAAGTCAATCATTCACCCTTCTTTCTTAGGGAAAGAGAAAAGAAGAACACTGTTCACTATCATTTATGTTATGGACAAACTTAGTTGTTTATCATATTCAACAGAATTCGGGGAAAAAAAAAAGACTAACCTTTTTCTGAAGCTCTGAAATAGATTCATGCATGGTTTGGTTCTGCACGTTAACACCCAGAATGACAATGACATTTCAATTCATACTTCAAATTATATTTGTAGATACTTGGTCACGAGCAAGTAATATTAGGAGAGATTTTAGACACAATCAATTTGGCGATTTTCTTAGAAGTTCTTTGATCTTCATGTTTTGTAAATATTCTATACACCTTATTACGAAATTTTGTACACTTTCAAAATTATGATCAACTGTATAAGAGATTCATAAAGTATCAGGAGGATACATTGCAGTAATGTTATTGACGTGTACATCACAGCATATATAGTTTTGTTTCACCTTTCGTGATCTAATGTGCTTGAGAGCGGAATCAAGTTGTTGTTCCAAACTCTGGAGACCTCTGAGATTTAAGCTATCAAGCTCTTCTCCCATAAAATTCCTGAAAGGAAGCAATAAACCTGCCATTAATGCATATTTTATCACACAACAAACACAAGTAGCTCTTTTTCATTAAAATTTAATACCTTTGATATCGCTGTAGCACCTCCAACCTAGCCTCGAGTTTTTCGTGTTCTATAACCCAGTTTTTCTAGCAATGCAAGCAGATAGTTAAGTATTCTACGGCTTCTAATTCATTGTAACAGTAGCAACTAACAAATAACATATCCATATTTATTTTAGCGATAATATCTAAGTCATACACCTTTTAAGCCATCTATAATTTGGATCTTTCTAGACCCGTTCTATCAATCAATAAATAACTTTTAAGATTGTTTAACGATCGAGTAAATTATGTTAAACTAAGTATGGATAAATGATGAACAGACTCTCCACTTGCCGGGTTTAGAGCAAGAGTAAATGACAAACATGGAAGCAAATCTGAGATATGATAATTGTAATTAATTTATGATAACAGATAACATGAGATGTATTGATTTATAAAAACTTATATTATCTAATTACAAACTAATAACTATGTTAAAAATCATACCAATAACGATCTTAGTTTACGGGAAGAATGCATGAGTATTAAATTCTTACCAAAATAATAGTTAAAAGTTGATTAAGAGGAAATTGAAAGCTTACATTTGATGCTTGATCTCCTTCACCGACTTGCCTCTCCGCATAAGAATTCCTCTCATACCGTTCTAGAGTTCTCTCCAAACTGTTAACTCAGGAAATTAAAGTAGCAGTGAGCAACGATTGAGAAAGCAAATATTTTTAATTGGTGCTCATGAAAAATGTTGAGAAAGCAAAATGTGTAGGTGGTTAAGCCCATTTGCTTGTAATGATTAAGTATGAATTCTTGTTGGTTTAGTTTTGATAGATTTTTGTCTTCTTGGTTAAGCAGCCTTAATCGATACTACCTTTATTAGGTGGTTAAATTTTTGATCAACTTTAGTCATTATATTTCTGATATATTTCTCTTTGTGTTTTGCTTTTATTTGATATTTGCGAAGGATGATTGACGTATGATTATTAAGGAATGTGTCAGTAAAATAATTAGTTCATTGTCTACATAAGGGTTCTATCTAATCCTTTTGTACTAAACTTTGTCAATAATAAAACATTTTATTTGTTTCTTTTGTTATGTTTGCTATCCTCAATCATGATCTAACTCAAAAATCACATATGATAAAATTGAAGCTTTTAAAATTAATATTTAAGTAAAATGAGGTCACAAACCAATTTCGTACAGTTAAATTAAACTTAATCTTAGATACTATATCGTATGAAATGATAATTAATTATATGAAAAAAATTCGAGTACGCATTCAACATCCTTTCTATAATATATATATATAGGTGTTGTTAGGGTATGTTTGATAAAAAAAGAGTAAATAATATATATGAGAAAAAAAATATAGTTTGACATTCTATTTCAATTGAACATCTCTCCAATAATTCATTTTAATAATAATAATAATAATAATATAATAATAATAAACCTTTTAAATTTATATATTTATTACTTTTATGTAATTAAATAGAGCTGTAGATGTGTTGTTGTAAGGAAAAAAATGGATTACCTGTGACTTTGAAAGATTAATTTAACTAATAAATTTAAAAATGTTGAATATTTATGGTAATTTTTGTTCTTGTATATTTAAAAATCCAAATATATTTTCCCTTTCAGTAATTGGCACCTTTACTCACAGTTAACTGTGGCTATGAATGTCAGATGAAGATGATCGCAAAATAGCAATTCAACTTCTCTAGGGTAGATAACAAAATTATTACCCGTCTTTAGTTATTTATCAAAGATTATTTAAACAAGTGGTTAGAGTTCAATTATTGCTGACCCGATTCTTCTTTTAATAGCATGATGGGGGAATTTACCAACATACACACGCTCAAATCAAACTATAGCTCTCTCAAAGGAAAAATGATTAGACAGGACTAGACAATTATAAGCCAATTAAAGCTTTTATTTTAGGTTTTAAATTAGTATATATAATTTTGATTCATTTTGTTTTAAATGCTAATGTATTTTACATTACTATTTACTTTATGTATAAAGAGACGAAATTAACAATAATTAGGTTCTTGTTTTTTATGAATAAGATTATATAATAATGTTAAAAAAAAAAAAGCTTAACGACAGTGTTGATGGAAAATCATCATATCCTACCGAATCTCCATCACAGTAGTGTCATATTAAAAATGAGTTAGAAGTATAAAGCATAATGAGGGAGAAGAATTATAATAATTTGTTTGGCCAAAGACGTAATTAAAGTAATCCCTCACACGCACTGATCGAGGTGTAAAAGCTGTTTCTTTTCTTCTTCTTTCACTTTCAAAACATCAAAGTAAATGCAAGAAATCCAAACTCATCCTACTGCGTGTAGACAATCTTGGAAAGAATAAGACAAGGAATTAAACAACAGATGGAAACATGTATGTATGAAAAAACAAGGGAAAAATCAACGAGAAATTATGAAACAGGAGACTATACTAAAGTCAAGCAAAACAAAAAACATAGAAGAGACATAGATATATAACATGCATTGGTAGAGAAAGAATACACAGGAGTGGCATAGTTGGAGGTAACCCAGAAGCATAGCGTACATACGATAAAGGAAAACGGGAGAGAAGAGACAGCAGCATAGATATAGAAGCATATAAAGACAAGAAGACATAGGCACATGCATATATACATAAATGAAGGGAGTAGAAAAAAGAAGAGAAGAGAACGTACGAAGGTTGGGTGGAGTAGTCGAAAAGCTTGCCTTTAGTGGAGAAGACTATGAGAGCCACATCAGCATCGCAAAGCACAGAGATCTCCCGGGCTTTCTTCAGTAAACCAGACCTTCTCTTTGAGAACGTCACTTGCCTATTGATCTTGTTCTCGATCCTCTTCAACTCCACTTTTCCCCTCCCCATTGACAGATATTTGTATACCTCGCTGCCACTAATTTCAATCCGCGAATGGATTGAATTGGAACCTCCTACGTACGTGCGCTTCTCTCTCTTTTTCTCTCTACCTTCTGATTTGCTTAACGTCCACTGTAGCGGGGATGGTGGAAGAATGTGAATGGGAGAAGCGAGGAAGAGGAAAGAGGAATCTTATGGACTATGGGGTCAAGCCAAGACTTCCAGAACGTACGTACATACATACCACAACTTCTTCATTTTTTTATTGGAAAACAGAAATATCATTGGTGGGTATTTCGTATTTACTATTTTAGGTATAATAAATGAACAAATTAGGCAGACGAGAAAGAGAAACCGCTGATCGGGTCTACATCGTGGTTTTCCAAAACCTGGGTGGTTTCATCAAATACGTTGTCGAGTTTTCATTGGCCAGACACTGTAGTCTGGTCCCCACCACAGTAAATTATTCGTATATTCATAGATTTTGTTGAGAATTTTATTTTATTCTTTTCCTTTTATTTAATTTACTGTTTCTTTTGTTTTAAAATATTATAACTTCATCTGAAATATTTAAATAAATCATTAAAATAGTTTTACGTATTCTATATTTCATGTAAAACTTCTTTTAATTGTGTGTTTGTTCGGTTAGAAATTTAAAAGTAAAAGTTAAGTGGAAAAAATCCAATTTTATATGTTTGAGAAAGAATAGTGCATTCAAAATATTTGACATTATTTTTTTCGCCCAAATTTGAGGAAAATGTGTGAAAATATCGTTACTTTTACGTGTAACTCAAATAATCTTATAAGTATTCTTACAGCACTCATATAATTTATTACATTAATAGTATAATTAATAGTATAACTGGTTATTGTTGAATGGTGTATATTCAAAATAATTATAATAAAATACTATTTTTCAAAATATTGCATCAAATTATCTGTAATGGTGACTCAGTATTTCTAAAATTTATACATATTTAAATTTAATAATTTATTAAATTATATATATATATATATATATATATATATATATATATATATGATTTTGAGTCTATCTAAAATTTTCTTGTAAATAATAAAATAAATAATTAAATATATTAGATAAAAAAACTAAAAAATGTTGTATTATCTCATTTAATAAATACTATGTTATCTCACATTTTTTTATTTTTTATTTATTTATATAATGTATATTAATTGGCCCGAAATTATTTGTAGATACTTACTGAAAATTATGTTATGAACTATAGTTATAATATGTAAATTTAAATTGTCAAATACAATAATTAAGAGGATAACTTTTATTAAATTCAGTGGAACAAATTTTTTGACGGAATAAAAATAAAAAATGATAATTTAATTATTTTGAAATATTTTACTATTAGGGTTTTGTAAGTTTGAAGAGTGCTGTAAATAATGGTTAATAATGTGCTATACTTTTATATATAACTTATAATTAATTTTATAAAATTTTAATTGACTTGAATCCTTCACATCTAAATATCTATCTCAATGAAAATAACTGTTTTATTATTTTATTTTTGTAGTTGAGGATAGTGTATTATAGATCAAATCATAATTAATTGTTTTTTTTTCACAAGTTCTATGTGTGTGATCTTATTTGATAATAATATGTCTTATAATATAATATATTTAGTCTATAAAAAAGTGTTACATATATAATTGATTATGTATATAAGATAATTAATTATTAAATTTAACAAATGAACAAACAACGAAGGGAAAAATGTATTTTCGTTATATACTTCTTATTTTAAAGCATGACTTTTTATTTTACCCAATCATTCATATCTCTTTATCATATGCATTATTTTTTTCTTTATTTTATTTTTCTATATTTCTTTTCCTTTTTTTTACAAAAGTATAAATATTTAAATATACTCTATTAAAAACATCATTTTTTTTAATATGATAGTTATATTATAATTTGTATTTAAAATATTATTAAAAATATAACACGAATTAAATCATCGTTCATAGATAAATATAAAATATGTGATAATTTCCAATAACTTGTCTTTGTAATAAATATTATAAAAAATAAAAAATATTATGCTGTGGAGACCAGTATTTATTTGTTGGAGTTGTCTTTAGCCTATATTTGATACCATAATATTACTACTTTTAGGGAATAAGTTTTTATTTTTATTATATATATATATATATATATATATATATATTTAAAAAATTATTAAAATTTAATATATATATATATATATATACATTTAAAAATTATTTATTTTTAAAATTATAAATTGTCAGACAAATATAAACGTATGATAATTAAAAAAATATAACCTTTAATAAAGAGAAAATGGAAAACAATATTATTTTTATTTGTTATTTATATTTTTTTAAAATATTAAAAATATATGATTAAAAATAGATAAAATAAAATATAATTTAATTTTTTTCATGAAACCAAAATATACAATTATAAAAATAAATTATTTTATATATTATTGTAAATTATAGACTATCTTTCACGTTTAACTAAATAATTAAGATAATTAATATATTGATATAAACTATTATCAATATTTAACTAAATAATTTTAACATCATATTTTGATTACATGTATCCACGTGATGCTGAATGTGTTGAGAGAACAAACTCAAACACACAAATTCTGTTGAATGCGTTTCTAATTTACTTGCATCTAATTTTAGTTTTAAATTGTAGCTTTTGTATTGAGTAGAGAACTCTATAACAAAATTAATCATAAACTTAACTTAATTTAAAATAAACTTTACATTATCATGTAAAATTAAATAAAAAACATTTATATAGTTATAGATCTATTTAAAGAATGATGCCTCAGGTCATCTAATCACTTTTCAATTCTTCATTTTTAAACCACCATATGTTAACTTAAGTCTACTATGTAGAACACTATTTTTCAAAGTATTTTAGCTTTAATTTGTTTTAAAACTTATTTTATTAAAAAATTGTTTCAAAAAGTGATAAAAATGTGCTGTTTATTTTATTTTTTGTTTTAATTAATGATATTTTTATATTTCTACTTAATTTGTTAATTTTCTTATTATGAAATATTGTTAAATATGTCATAATTAATATTATTTTGTGTTAAATTTTTTAAAATTATATTTAAAAAATAAATTAATTTATTTTAAAAAATATTTTATAAAATGAATTTCCAAAATTATTTTAAAATTTAGAAAAAATCAAAATGGTGCATAATTTCCAATATTCTATTCGTCTTTAGGTGCTAACAGCAAAGAGAGGGATGCCAGTAGCATGTGTCTTACACTAATTTTGGGTAGAGTTCAATGGAGAGCCCAATTACAAAGATGGGTAATACGTCCACTATTGACAATTTGTTGGGCCATTATCCAACGAGTTATACTGTTAGCTTTTGTCCTTTCATCTTAAAGATTCAAACACGGGCTTACTTTTGAAGCAGTTGTTATAATTTATTAAAAAAAAAATGATTTTTTAAGCCTACCTTTTTGAAGTTGTTGAAATAACAAATTACATATTAATTTATCATAAGAGGTGAGGCCAGGGGCTGAAGGAAGTGAATTCAGAGGATCATGATTAAAAAAAGATAATTTATTGTAAATTTTATTAAAAAACTATATTATAATTCCCTAAAAAAATATTTTTATATATATATTGACATGATAGATAGGTTATAATGAAAAAAATATAAGAGATTTGTTGATTGGAACCTAATTATAGAAAGGGATATACATATACTGGTACTCATGCATGAATAAAAGCTTAAAGTTAAAACTTGAATGCAAATATACAGCGTTTTAGTTTCATAAATGTTTATGACAATACTACTCACAACTATTTTTATTTATTTATTTAAACATTGACAAATAATGCATGAAAAAAAAGGAAATGAAAACATATATATATATATATATATATATATATATATATATATATATATATATATAATGGGTGCGTTCAACACATGACGCGTTTTCCTTTTGGTTCTTTATGGCATGCATATAGATATATATATATATATTATATGTGTGTGTAAATTCAATGTCATCAAAGCATCCACCCAGAGGCAAATCCATGCATATTTAAGGATGAAGCTCCAACGTTAGCATCATCAGGACCAATCTGGTTGTATCTGTAATCATCAAAACACACACTTGGTGGATATAGAGGAATCAATCAATATGTACAAAAATTCATTGATTTCTTATGTCTGAGAATTATTGTGGAATGACTTTACCCAATTTGCAAGTTGGGATTTACTCCCACTGTCTGGAAGAACCCCTCTGACTGAGGAGGAAAGTTTGTGAAATGGATGTCAGGCCCTCTAGCTTCCAAACCCACACTTACTGGAACTTGTGAGTTATTATTAGTTTCTTCCAACTGTTTCAATTTCAACACATGTCATTTTCAACCAAAAACCTAACACCCAATCAACATCAGATTATTGGACTTGATAATCATGAGAAAATTGCATTTGAGTTGGAAATAGTTGTTACCTTACTCCTTAACACATTATTAGTTTCAACAAGCAATGTTTCCTGCATCGAGTTTGTAAAAGCCAAGGTTACACCCTAGAGTAAGACAGTTTCAGAATCTACTAATTAAGGATGAAGGAACACGCGCATACCCGTTCGTGAAGATCAGCAAGCTGGTCAAGCATGAATTGAGTCTGAAAAATTGTGAAATATATCTTCAAATCTATCCAACAAATCAAAAGATAAAGCAAAGCATTTGCAAAGAGAAAGAACACTAATCTGCTTCATAATACTTGTAATTGAAATTGAAGTTGTCCAATGTGATTACCTTTGTTGACCTAATATTCTTCAGTGCTGCCTCTAGTTGATTCTCAAGCTGCTCGAGATCAGTTGTATTCATTTGGGCAAGATCTTCCCCGAGTAGATTCCTGCATCATTTAGAATCAATGACACAAATATTCATATGGAGTTCAATAGAGCATAACATCAGCTTTTAAGACTGAGAACACAGACAGCAACAAGGTGCAATGTTCATGGAGTCGCTTCTCTAAGTTAATTACCTTTGTGAACGTTGCAAGACTTCTACCCTTGCTTTTAATCTCAAATATTCCTGGTAGTTCTGTCAAGTGACATATTTGTTGTTACATATTCATAAAGTCTATGAAACCTTTTTTTATGCTAGAAAATTATTTCTCGAGACACATGAAGACTTTACCTGGATGTCGTTAGTTGGTCTGGTGGTCTCCAGTGCACTGTAACTGTACTTCTGGTACTTCTCCAGTGTTTTCATCATACTGTGTTATAAAGAAATAACTCAATCAAAATATGGGATCATTGATTTGCAAATGAGGAAATTTATGAACAAAAAATTGCAAAATTTTTTTGTGAGAAAAGGGTACACCCTAAACCCTAAAAAAAGGAAAATACATGCTTAAATGTGTGTTTATATGCATGTTCTGCAACCTTGTTAACTGGTAGCAACTCAGCAAGTTTTTGTATGTTCATAATTAGGCATTATCAATATTTTGGAAACCAACAAGTTTTCCATTTCTCACTAGATTGCTCTTTTAACATTACCATGCGAGTACTAACCATGTAATTATGATTTTTGATCCTTATTAGTATACAATACACACACTCACGCAAAGTATTTGAATGTCTAGCTTTCTAGGGATTAGCTATGCCAAGGATCTTGCATCTATTAATAGAATCATCACGATTTTTTGTTTTCTCTTTTCCTCAGAAAATGCAAGCACGCGAGTTGACCAAAGTAAACGATACAAATCACAACGATTATGACATAACAATGTGACATACATATAAATCAAACACTGGCACAAATTTTATATATATATATACACACACATTTGAGAAAGCAAACAAAATACTGTGACTCTAGCTTCCAGTGTTAGAATATCTTACGGTTTAAACTTCAATATTCCCTTTAATTACATTTACATGGAAGAGTCATTGTTTGAAAAGAAAAGTATTCTGTCGCTTTTATTAGGAGTTCAAACATCACTGTTGATCCATTTCCTATTCTTTATACTTTGAGTCTGTTATTGCTGTCTTGTGGGAAGACAATCATTTAGCCGACATTTTTTTACATTATTTATCCAAGTGCTGCTTGATTTTTATGTGGACTATGTAAGTTTAATTATTCATCACATTATAAACTTATATGCTTCACTTATATATTTTCATTTTTTTCTACCTTTAACATCTCTTGGCCATAAAATGTAAATGCTAAAATCCAAATTATTCAACAAGTGGGTAGATTATAAAATGGGTTTGGTATTTTCTATAGTTAATTAGGATAAAAAATAATACTTTCACCCTATCCTATGCTATTAATTACATCGTTAACATTGATATATAAGAAATTGCCAACAGTGAAACATTAAATTAACCAAACAAAAGTAATAACTAATTTAATGACTTTAACGTCAAAATTTAGGTGTATCGGATCCACATGCAGGACTTTGTGCACAAAGTTTACCGTAAATTTTTTACCAACAATAGATCTAAAGCAAAAATATTTTTAACTGGACGTTATAAAAATATGCAGAACAGTTAAGTAAAAAAATTTTTATGCCTCCCACCAGGTAACCCTCTAATATTACGTTTTCGAGAGACTTGACATGATCCGGTGGTTATAAAGCATGTCAATAACCATTCTGTACACTAAATTTTGGAGGCGTTATATTAAAAAATTATGAAAAGTTGAAACGATGCGCATGTAGATAGAACACCGACAACTGCATTCATATAAATCCAAAGTTGTGAAGGCTGAGACAAAGCTTTCTAACACAATTCGCCAAACACTTTCCATTGCACAGGAGAGAGTTGTAACAGAAGAAAAGAAGAAGAAAGTTTGATGTACAAGGTCATTGAAGAGAAGAGGAGGTGAAAGGAAGAAAATGTATAGATTAATGGACAACTCGAAGGGATCATGACAGTTTAAAGGTTTTTGTTTGATTACTGGTCACTTGCTCCAATTATAATATCCCATTCTTTCATTTCAATTAGTAAAAAAGGAAAATAATTTCTCTCTATAATTGTTTCTACAAGTAGTGAGAAAAGTGTTTTTGTCTTTTAGTCTTGTAGATCAAACCAGCTATTCCACAACGGTTTTGAGGATAGACGTAGATTCACAGCCTTAGAAGCTAAAGGACGCCCTTTTCCTGTTTCTCTTCCTCTGAGTCTGCGCAATCCTTAAATTGTAATGCAAAGTAAAACAGGTTTTCGCATCAAACATCCCATCTCTGACACCAAATCATAACAGTAAACCCTGACTTGAACTGTTAAGGCTCTATCTCTAATCAGAATCATTAAAAAAAATAAAAAAAATCAGATGGTTGTTATTAGGACCAGTTCATGGTTTTATATTCATGATCAGAAATGACCCAAGTTAAAAAATTAACAAACTTCGGCAAAAATTTAAGAGGACTGTTGTAGGAAGCCAAAGTCACGCTTCTTCATAAATTAGATTACTAAAACAAAAATTTTTACGACTTTAACACTCGTCTATTCCAGAAATGATCTTGCCCTAGTTCAATAGGGTATTTGTGTCCCATATGAAATGGAGCAGGAAAGGTTTTCCAAAACAACATTTGAAAGGCACAAAAATGAAAATTTTCCCACTTTTGACACTACTCATAGAATTTCAGATCTTCACATTAAGCATAGGAATTAAATAAAACAACTTTGTTTGTCGAATATAAAATTGTGGAAAGCAAACAGAGAGGAAAGATCGAAACTTTACACTCCCCACAAGTTAGGAAAAAGAGAGAAAAAAGTACAGATGTGAGGAAAAAAAGGTCCTTTAATTTTGGGTTTGAAAACTCAACTACATGTAGTTTGAATGAATCAGGAAGTAGTTAGGCTGAGGAGAAGCAGCACTGAAGCACAGATCTTGCAGAAAAAGTGCTCCAAATTAACAGAAACATTATTTGTGCACAAAAGAGATGTCATTGGCAACATGTTTGCACTTATGTTCTCATTAAACAATTAAACATGAGACACACGCAAACAGAAGCAAAAAGAGTTTACTTAAGTATGTGTACCTTGAGGTGCTGCTGAACTCATAAAGCTTGCCACGGTTGGAGAAGATGATGAGGGCAACCTCAGCATCACAAAGGACTGAGAGCTCATAGGCTTTCTTGAGCAACCCATTTCTTCTCTTGGCAAATGTGACTTGCCTGTTGATTTTGTTCTCTATCCTCTTCAGTTCAACCCTCCCTCTTCCCATCTTTTTGTTTCTCTCTCTACCTCTCTTAAAAACACACACTCTCTCTCGCTCTGGAAACTCCCTTTCCTGTATTGGTTAAGGGATGAGAGTGCTTTCTTAAATGGTCTCTTTGCTTAGGGTACCAAAAGGGATAAAACAATAGTGCAAGAGAGGAAATAAAAGCGGAAACCTGAAAAAAGGTTTCTTTATGTTTGGTTTTCATCTCTCTGCCGTATACCCTCTATAACATGTTTAATCAGCTAAACAAAAGAGAGACAAACTTTTATGCTTGCACACTAATTTGACATAGTTTCTCATGTATCTTGTTTGTACCTTATCTTAGTCCCCCAAAAGTTGAACTTAATCCTTGTTTGTCCATTGTTAGTCTACTAACTATATAGGGTCGCCTAGGTAGCCAAAAAAATACTCTAGCTCACTAACTTACCACAACTCCACACTATGATGCATCACATTATCCACACCCCAAAATTTAGTCTAACTGCTTCACATATTTACTATTTCATTCAACTTTGGTTACGCTTGAATAGGAAATGTTGAGTTACTAGGTTATGTTCACTTTCATCACCAACCAGCTTTAATATTGGCACACATGAGATACAGGTGTCAGGTTAAGAACATGGTTCTTTATTTTTATTAGCAAAGAGAACATTCTTGCTTAGTCACAGGTCATAAAAGAAGTTTAGAACATTGGTGGCAGTCAAACGTACGAGCATTTTACCAACAAAAATTATGTTTTGTTGACTCCAACTAATCCACCTTTTCCTCCTAAAAAGCAATGTTAGTAGCATGTTTGGGAACGTTTTATGAATGCCAGACCCTTTGACTTTCATCTCAAAATGTTAAATTTTGTTGCTTTTAAAAATTCAGGTCAAGCTGGCTTTAAAATCACTACCAGACAATAACATACTCCATTCTGTCCCTCTACAAACAAATTTCAAAATTTTATAAAATAGAAACAACTATTTATTTACCACTTTAACTTTCAACATGCAATTCAAATATAGAAGAATTAAATCTAATTCAAACACTATATATATGTTTAGATTCACACCGTATTATTCAAAATCACTTTGAAATATTAACTATTATGATTTTCCCTGAAGAGATACACTTTAAGTTAGGGAATAAAATACAATTAAAATGGTTGATTAGGAAATAAAAAAATAAATACTATTTACGGTTAAATATGTTTTTTTTTTAAATTAAAATTAATTATGATATCAATAGCTAAATGTGTTATTAATGAACATTATCGTATTTTTATATTTTAAAGTACATTTCATTTCCATAGAATCAAATTCCCTTATTATCGTGTTCCAACTAATTTCATCATACTTCAAAAATTTATTGGGTAAACAAAATAAATCACTTTAATTTTTTTCGATAATATTGCTAGGATTAATCATCCATCCATTTAATTATTCGTTATAATTTTTATTAAAAGATATCTTAACAAGATTAAAAAAAAAAGTTATAATCATTTCTTAATCTCCATTCCATGACCATTACTACTATATATCAGAGGAATTTTAATTTAATTTTAAACCAAATCAATTTAAAATCAAGTGAAAGTAATTATTATGTCGGGGTGAGAATTTTATGATTTACTCCCCAACTTATAAGGTGAAAAAAATGTTTTTTTTAGAGGGAACTTATTTTCCTATGAGCACAACAAAATTTAAAAAAAATACTTTCTTTCAAATTTAATTTGAATTAAAATATTTATTTGCGAAACCATGGACATTTACCATCCATTTTGCAATCACTTGTCAAACCTACTTAATTAAAATATTTCTTTAACATTATTTTATCTTGATCCTATAAGTCAACCGGCTAACAAATTAATTTTAGTCTAATAATTGTTTTAAAATATATGTTTATATAAAAATAATTAATGCAAAAATTAAAATATTTTTTAATTTAAAAATAAATTTTTTTAAATTTAAGTTATGTTAATAAAATAAATATTTATTTTAGATATAATAATTTAATATTTAAATTATAAAAGGATGGATTCTCTGCTTACTCTTTATTATTATTACTAATTTTTATATAATATAATGATTTAAAATAATAATTTATCTTTGTTAAAGACTTATCTTTATCATATTAATTTATAATATATATATATATATATTATTTTATTTTTATTTAAAACATAATTATTATTTTATAAAATGATTGGTTCATATAAACCTGGTCAGGGTGTAAACTGGTCAAATCAAAATTAATTGATTGAATTTAGGTTATAATTTTTTTATTTAATTTAACTTAAATGTATTATTAATGTGAAATTGTTTGACGTTGATATTCAATTAAATTCTCTATTTTATCACATCACATTGTATTGATTTAATTAAATTAAAAACAAAAACCTAAAAAGTAGTACTGAAATTTGGGACGAGGAAGTGGTGTAGGAGGTTGATGACAAAAAAAATAGAAGATTTGAGTTTCGAGGTAAGGTGACCAAAAATGGGGTTCAGGCTATGGAGGAGTGGAAACAAAAAAAAAAAATGAGAGTTGAGAAAGGTAATAATTATTATTATGTTTTTTCAAAAATTAATATTTTGGAATGGTAGGATTAAGTAAGACTTAAAATAAATTTTGAGATTTTTTTTATCTAAAAAATAAATTTATATGTTGGATTTTTTGGTGTTTGTTTTATAAATATTATATTATCTATAATTATATATAAAAGATATTTAGTTAGGTATCACTAAGAAAAAAATATAATATATTTATGTTATATATATATATATATATATTAATTCTTTTAATCATAACTTTTTTTATATTTATTTATTTTCAATGATTCATAATTTTATGAACAGATATTTATATTTTAAATTTAATATATACATTAATAAAAATGTGGATAAACGTATTTGTCTGTATTTCTGCTAGTGATATATCAATGGATGTAAATTTGATCTATTATAATCCAAATTTACATTTCTAATAATTATTTTAAAATTAAATTGAATATGTTATTCAATTTGGAATCCAACCAAAAAAACCATGGATAACTAACATTAGAAGATAAAACCTTGACAAAAAAAATAAAAATTGTCTGCAATTAGGGGTTAGTCATGGCAACGTGCCATACATGAAATTCTCACCATTGAGTTATTACACCAATACACTCGTACAAATGTCATGTAGAAGAAATAAAAAGGGCAAAGGTAACGAACGAGGAACAAAACTTAGTCCTTATAAAATGATTTTGATCTTTTAAACTATTTTTCTCTTATTTTAAATCCTTCAAAATATAAAATTATAACTTTTAATCCAAAAACTTTACACAAGCATTTATGAACTTAATAAAGCAATAATAAAGTCTTTTTGGTTGAGAGGTTTAAAATTAAAGTCCTCTTTAAACTATAACTTATTTCAAACTAGATCAATTTTTTTTTTAATTGGATCCTAATCGATGTTAAAACTACTATAGCAAGAGTGACAGTGAATTCGACGTGTCGAGTTTGGAGTGGGCAGGGTCCAATAGGTTGCAGTCACACAGAGTAAGCAAGCAGTATCGTACGTTACTAACGGCTGTTGCGACAAGACAAATGTACAGCGCCATGGACACGTGTCAATAATGATACGAATTATAAACCGAAGGTTAGTGATGTATTCCTCGTCGTTCATCTGCATCACACAACCTTTTATGGAACACAACACTCTATTGTTCTCCGAGGAAACATCTTCTCCACCGTCCAACTCCATTATTTACCTTTCAACCCTTAAATGCATTTTCTCCTTTTTCTTCTTTCGTCCATCGCTTTTCGTCTCTTCGATTTAACTTTTTGCCATTCCAAATATGCTTTTTTTTTTTTTTCTGACTAAAGTTAATACTTGTTAATTTTAAATGTTTTTTTTTATTTTTTTGTTATAAAAAAATAATTTTTTGAAAAACTAAATTAATTATTCAATAAAGTATAAAAAAAAACTAAAAGAGAAAATTTAAATACTTATTAAGTTTGTGTAAAAAAGATATTCCTTCGAGAATAGGAATACCATTGAAAATCATTCATCAAAATCCTCTGTAAAATCATTTAAGTATCATGTTTCGAAATGCCGTTGTGTACGTGTGTTTGAGCTAAAAATTATGTAATTTAATTTATTTTTTAAATGTTGAAGGTAAAGTTATTTAGTAACACCAAAAACCAAGTTTAGTCATAGAAAATTATTGGATGTGTGACAGTTAAGTTGCTAATTAAAAACACTGCATTTGAGTTTTATAAAATAGAGATTTTTAACCTATGAATTAATTATTTTATATGATTATTTTAACAAATTTTAAATTTAGGACATAATTATAATACATGTTTAATCACGTCACTAATTATAAGCTTTATGTGTTTCCCTTTCTTTCTTATATGTAAATAAAAAATAACTTTTGTCCTAAATTTTATAACAAAATGTTATATGATTCATTCAAACAAAAATATGCATTACTTAGAGGTGCGAAAATGATCATTGGAACGATTGAGAAATGAAAAAAAAATATTAGTTAACAAATAGGTTTAAGAAAAAAAAAGTGTGAAGTTGACCAAGGCTATTCTATTAGTTCTGAAATAAAAATTATCCTTATTTCTTTAAATTGTTAGACAGGGGTTATTTTTCAACACTTTTAGTTACAAATACATTTATTTTAATTTCGATGGCAGTTAAAATATTAACTATTACTATTAACTTAAGTATATTTTTAATTATTGTAAAATGGGTGAGTCTTGATTTTAATACTGGTAAAAAAAAGTTATTTGTCTATATTTTAGATGAGACAATACAAACAATTCCCAAAATAATTTTCCATGAAAAGAAATATATGTTGGTAAATTTTGGAATATATATATATATATATATATATATATATATATATAATAATTTCAATGTGTTAGGGTCATTATTTATTAAGTTAAATAATAAAATGATATGACTAAATTAAAATTTTGACTAAATGCATATGTTATGAAAATAAAATTGTGTATAATGTCTAATTT